GATCTCCTCCTAGATTATTATGAAGCAAATAGCAGATGTATTATTATATCCATAAATATTTCGATATCCATCTTTTTAAAAAGTAAGGAATCTCTAAAGTAAAACTGCAATACCATTTGTCTTAACTAACAAGTAGTGCTTTATGAAGAGTATCATGAGTGGATGTGTTCAACAACAGAAATTTATTCTCTCGCAGTTTGCTGTTGTTAAGCACCATTGAGCTGGTTCTGACTCATAGCAGTCTTGTATAGAGTTTCCAAGGAATGGCTGGTGGGTTTGAACCACTGACTTAGTGTTTAACCGTTTTTATTCTACAGTGCCATACTAGGATTCCTCTCATAGCCTGGTGGTGGTAGGTGCTGTTGAGTTGGTTCCAATTCATACCAAACCTGTATAGGGTTTCTGGGGGTTGAACTGTTGACCTTTTGGTTAACAGTACAGTGCTTATCCTACAGTGCCACACCAGGACTCTTCTCATAGCTTAGGAAGCTAGAAGTTCAAATTCAGGGTGCCAGCTCTAGGAGAAGTCTTCCTCTCTTTGTTGGCTCTGGCGAAAGGTCCTTGTCACCTTTTAGCATCTGTTGACCCAAATTCTTTGGAGATCTCCAACAAACGCTGGAGCTAGCAATTTCACAGTGCAGGAACCTCAGGCCCGAAGGACACATTCTACTCCTGGCTCTTCTTTCTTGGGTGTAGTAGGTTCCGCTGAGTTCTCCTTGCCTGTTTAATCTCTTCTACATCTCAAAATGTTGTTGTTGTTAAGTGCCATTGAGCCAATTCCAACCCATAGCAACCCCGTATAGTGTTTCCAAGGAGCAGCTAGTGCACTTGAACCACTGACCTTGCAGTTCAAATGACTTAGCAGTCTGACGCATTAGCCCACAGCACCACACCAGGACTCCATATCTCAAAATTGATTGACTCAAAATACAACTTAATCTAGTATATTGCATCTGGCCTCATTAACGTCATGGGAGTGAGGATTTACAATGCATAGGATAACTACATCAGAGCAGAGCTGATCCCATTAAATCACATCATCAGGTTGAATATATTACATTAGACCTCCTCATGGGGAATTACTAAGTCTTAACTGCTAAACCACTAAGAATCCTGACATAGTTAAGTTGAAACAAAACCTTAACTATTACAGCATCATTATACCTAATATCATCACATGTCCATTTGTTATTCAAATTTTATCTATGATCTTGAATATTTTTTCTTTATAATTTGTTTTTTGAATTATTTCTCATATAAGACCTATCTGTTAGTCCCCTTTCTGTATTTTGTCATATGTTGTCAAGTTGATTCCAACTCATGACAAGCCTGTACTGCAGAGTAGAGCTGCCTCATCGTTTCCTAGTTGTAATCTTTAAGGTAGGTGCTGTAAGATAAGCACTAGACCACAAGGTCAGTTTGAACCACAAGGTTGGCATTTCAAACTCACCGGCTGCTCCTCAGAAAACCTATACAAGGTTGCTATGAGTTGGAACAGACTCAAAAGCACTTAACAACAACAAAAACAGCAAACTTCATAAAGTTGTTATAAGTCAAAATCAACTTGACAGCAATGGGTTTGATTTTTACTGGAGGGAGTCCTGGTGACACAATGGTTAAGTGCTCAGCTGCTAACTGAAAGGTTAGGAGTTCAAACCCACCAGTGACACAATGAGAGACAAGACCTGGAGATCTGCTCCTTTCTATAACATTACACCTTAGGAAACTATGGGTCAGCTCGCCTCTGTCCTACAAGGCCACTATGAGTTAGAAATCACTTGATGGTCCACAACAACATCAGTCTTTACTGGAGCAGATTACCATCTTTACTCCTTTTGAGCTACTGGTTGACTCGAACCAATGACCTTTTGGTTAACATCCGAGCATTTAACCCTTGCCACTACAAGAGCGCCTTTCTCTATCTCTGGTTCTAATATGTTCCTTATTAATAATTTGTAGAAAACCCAAATATTGTGTCTTAAAGCATTTCCTAAGTATTTAGATTTTGTGCCCAAAGATTTAATACAATTCTGTCTCTTGGATTTTTTGAAATGTAAGTTATATCAAATTTGTTTCCACTATAGAATTTACAGTATTTATGAAAAGATGATGCCTACTAATATATTTCTTTAATTATCTCACTTCTCAGTCAAGATTTTTATAGGAGCTGGTTCAAAAATTAATATGACAAAATAATCAAACTCAGAGTGCCTATAATCTAAAATGGGAATTAAACATTGATATAATTAGCTATATAATGAAGAGCAAAATATGATATACTTTAAGAGTATTACATAGTGTAAGCTTTTGTATCAGTATTATTAAAGTAATACATTTTTGAATTTTTCATTAAACATAAAGGTGTTGTGGAGAGGGCAGAAGTGGGACAGTTTCATCTCTGGAACACAATTTGATAGACAGACTTGGAGATTCCTTTTAGCTCTGAACTGAGGGTGATGGTGAGCCATATGGTACAGTTCATGTGACCTTGCAATTTGCATGCAAACTCATGAAATTTGCTTTAAGCTATACTTGAGCAAATCTACACAATATTAAGGAGGTAAAGGTAGACACATAGCATTTCAGCTAAATTGAATTGTTTCTGAATTGTCAATAATTGTACAAATAATGAAAATAGATGATTTATCCACATGTTTTACTTTCTTTCTCAAGCAAAACCAAACCAAACCTTTACCAGTGATAGTCACTTGAAGGAAATAATTCCAAATCTGGGCAGTATGCCTTTAACAATTATCAACACAGAACAAAACAAAACCCACTGTCAGCGAGTTGATTTTTGATGCCTAGGTAGTCTGTATAATATTTCAGAGATTGTGCATCTTCACAAGAGCAAACAGCTTTATCTTTCTTCCATGGATGGTGGGTTTGAATGGCTGACTAAGCATTTAGGAGTCCAGTGTTTAACCTATATTACCACTGTTGTTGTTAAGTACTGTCGAGTCGATTCTGACCCATAGCGACCCTGTATAGGGTTTCCAAGGAGCAGCTGGTGAGCTTGAACCACTGACCTTGCAGTTCAAACGACTTTGCAGTCTGACGCATTAGCCCACAGTGCCACACCATTACCACTAGGGCTCCTTTTATTAAATATGTTATTGTTGTTAAGTGCCGTCAAGTCAGTTCTGAATCATAGCGATCCTGTGAATGGTTTTGGAGGACTTGCTGGTGAGTTTGAACTGCTGACCTTGTGTTTCAAACAGACCTTGTGGCCCAGTGCATTATCATACAACACCATACCAAGACTCCTTATAAAATATACTATGCACTTATTTTTATATTCTTGAATGTGATACTTTTGGATTTTTTTCAAGTTGTTGTTAAGTGTCAATGAGTCAGTTTGACTCATAACAACCCTTTGCACAACAGAACAAAGCACTGCCTGCTCCTGTGCCAACCTCACAGTTATTGTTGTGCTTAAGCCCACTGCTGCTGCCACTGTGCCAATCCATCGCATTAGTGAACTTCCTCTTTTTCATTGACCCTCCACTTTACCAAACATGATGTCCTTCTCCAAGGACTGGTCCCTTCTGATAATAAATCCGAAGTACGAGAGATGTAGTGTCACCATCCTAGTTTCTAAGGAGCACTCTGTACTTCTTTCAATGCAGTTTAGTTTGTTCTTCTGTCAGTCCATAGAACTTTTAATATTCGTGTCCAACACCAAAACTCAAATGCATTGGTTATTCTATGGTTTTCCTTATTCATTGTCCAACTATCACATGCATTAAAAATACCATGGCTTGGGTCAGGCACACTTTAGTTCTCAAACTGATATCTCTGCTCTTCAACATTTTAACAGGTCTTGTGCAGCAGATTTGCCTAATGCAATATGTCATTTGATCTCTTGACTGCTGCTTCCATGGTTGTTGATCATGGAGCCATGTAAAATGAAACCATTGACAACTTCAACCGTTTCTCCATTTATCATGATGTTATTTATTGGTTCAGTGGTGAGGATTTTTGTTTTCTTTAGATTGAGGTGTAACCCATACTGGTGTTTGATCTTCAAGTAAGTATTTTAAGTCCTCACTTTCAGCAATCAGGGTAGTATCAGCTGTATATCACAGGTTTGCTACTGAGTCTTCCTATAATCCTGATGCCACATTTTTCTTCATATAATCCAGCTTCTCAGATTATTTGCTCTGTATGCAGATTGAATACGTATGGTAAAAGATTACAACCTTGGCACACACCTTTCCTGGTTTTAAACCATTCAATATTCCCTTGGTCTATTCAAATGCCTGCCTCTTGCTCTATGTACAGATTTCTCAAGAACACAATGAAGTGTTCTGGAATATCCATTGCTTGTAATGTAATCCATAGTTTATTGTGATCTACACAGCAAAAATCTTTCTTTCTGGTATTCCTGCTTTCTGCCAAGGTTCATCTGACCTCAGCAATGATATCCCTTATTTTACTCCCTCATCTAAATCTGATTTGAACCTCTGGAAGTTTCCTCCCAATATACTATTGCAGCTGTTTTTGAATTATCTCCAGCAAAATTTTACTTGCAAGTGATATTGATGATATTGTCAATAAACTCCAGATTCTGTAGGATCACCTCTCTTTGGAATAGCCATAAATATGGAGTTTATTCCAATCAGTTGGCCAGATAGCTGCTTTCTAAATTTCTTGGAACAGATGAGTAAGCACCTCCAGTGTTACATCAGTTTGTTGAAAGATTTCAACTTGTATTCCATCAATTCCTGGTGCCTTGTTCTTTGCCAATGCCTTCAGTGCTCCTTGGACTTCTTCCTTCAGTACCATTGGCTCTTGATCATATGATACCTCTTGAAATAGTTGAACACCAACTATTTCTTTTTGGTACATTGGCTGTGTATTCCTTCCATCTTCTTTTTATGTTTTCTGCATCACTCAATATTTTTCCCACAAAAATATATTTTTTTGAGTAGTTGCACTTTGTATTTGTATTCTGATAAGATCTATGAATTTTTTTTTTTTTTTTTTTTTTTTTTTAGGCACAGACAGCACACATTGTCCTGGAAGATGGAACTAAGATGAAAGGTTACTCCTTTGGACATCCATCCTCAGTTGCTGGTGAAGTAGTGTTTAATACTGGCCTGGGAGGGTGAGTAATGCTTCTATCCTAATATTTCATTCTTCTTCTCTAAGTAAAGAACTTACTCAAGGTGTGATCTTTAAATCCACTCACCCCCTCCCCCAATAATAAAGCTGCATGCTGTCCTGACATTGTGTGGTGCATAGTGTGTGGACTGCTGCAGCCTTCCTTGGAGGAAGCATAGACAGACGTTCCTTGTTGCTAGATGAAAGAGATCATGGTCACTCTGTTGGTTCTCCGAAAAAACAAAACAAACATTAATTCTAACAATATGTGTTGAGCAGGCACAGTTATATGGGCCTGACTTCTTAAGGAGATGTAGGGATTTGGTGAGAGGGAGAAGTGTGGTTGGGGTAGGATAAATAGCACTCTCTAGTGCTATTTGCATTCCATTGTTAAAGAACCCATAGTCTGTTTCCCATTGAGAAACATTGTACACCTAATTTGAAATACTATAAGGAGACAAGAATGGCCTGAGGTATATTTCAGAATTTTGCACAGTAGTAAGATAGTATCAAGAACAAATATATTCAGTGTCTCAAAATAATCAAGAAAAGAGCAGGTACATGGATCCAATTTTTTAAAGCTATTATTGTGAATTAAGTGATAGTTTACATGGGGGAACATTGCATTTGCACTCATCCTATTTTGTTTCATTGCCATGATTACAATCCCCTCTGTGCATTATCATCCAACAGGATTTACTTCTATTCCCTGTTTTTTTTTTTTTTTAAGATCCAATATTTTTAATATTTACAAATTATGAATCTATGTAGTATTTAAAACCTGTTATTATGTGTGTAACAATTAAGGCAAGATTTTCTATAGAAATCATGTATCTGGATGTACCTAGTCAGTTACTGTTTGTTCTTCTGGGAACCAGGAGTTTTGGTCTCAGTTGTAATGATAAGTCATTCTATGAAATTGGGAAAGTGAATTTCTCTAAGCCCTCCTTTTCCTATGTAAAAAGTGAGGTTGGTGGATTAGATTGTAATTTACAGCTGGGAATTCAAAAATTGAGACTTCCAAAATAGTAGATTAAGTGTTTCAAGAGGTTTCCATTAGAGAATCAACAGACTAAACATTCATAAATATTTGATACATTTTTTTTTTTTAGGAAACTTTTAAAGACAAGAGGCATTGAATGGATATTGAAGATACTAACTGACCAAAATTTTGTTATATTATTGACATACCTTTTCTTTAAACTCTTGGCTCTCTGTCTGAAGTGAAGACTATTAGATTTTTTTAAAATACTTCCACTGGTGAGAACATTACATTACAGTGTATGAAAGCTGTTTGCAAAGTTTCTTCTCACCAGGCAATTATTTAAGCTTTTAGACAGCACTAATTACTAGCTGTGTTAATATACCTGCCAACAAACAACTGTTTAATATAGATCAGGATGATGGAGGGCATGAGAGTTTTCTTTCTTGTGATAGATTACGGGTAATAAATCTTGTCACATCACAAAAGTCAAACAGGACCTGATGGATTAATTTGCTTCCAACACGGCAATTCTCTAAGACAAGCTATATTTATTCATTTGCTGGATAGAGTATTATGAGCACATTTTTAAAGGGAATGACCAGTTATTTTATGTAGAAAAAAAGAATGGGAAATAAAATTAAGTTAATTAAAGATTTTTTAAAATGTAAAAAATAATCATTTATAAGATTAGCCCGTAGACAGTTTCCCATTGAGAAGTACTTTCATTACATGAATCAGTAAGGTGTTTGGTGATTAAGGGAGTTATTTTGGTTTTCATCTTCAGGAAATATAAAACTTAGGAAAAAATAATAATCATTTCCTGAGAGGAGAGGCATTTGAGAAACGAGTCAATAGAGCCTGTGGATAAACACTATAGCACTTTTATCACTTTAGGGATACCTGAATAGAAAGACTAAGTATTGTATTGACAAAGTCAGTTCTGGGAGGAGCCAATCTAGATACAGTTGAAGAATTTATGTTGACTGCTGCCTGAGCTGAACTTCATTGGTTTCAATGTTGTCGATTCTGTCCCCCTCAGCACCTAAATTCATTTTCAGTAGTAATCCACAGGAAAGATGTAGCTTACCTCATTCTGCAGAAAGTGAACATGTAAGAGGAGAAAAAATTCAATTGAAATGCACCCCAGAGGACACAGGATAAATGTAGATGCTGCGGCTGTTGTTAAGTGTCATTGAGTTGGTTCTGACTCATAGCGACTCTGTATAGGGTTTCTGAGGAGCAACTGGTAGGTTTAAACCACCAGTCTTGCAGTTAGTAGTACAGTGTGTATCCTAAAGCATTAATTAATTTTTACTATAGCTATATTTTCTTTGTTTCAAGCTTTAAAAATAAAGCCCTCCTTCATTCCTTCTTTGTTCTACATATTTCTTGAAAACAAATAATTACTCAGAATATTCAGGGCTTTTTTGTGGGAAAAATTTTTTCTGAGTTGATAATAACTCTCAAGCTTGATATAGTATTTTCTAAAACTAAAAAAAAAAAAAAAAAGTTAGGCTTTCATAAAATTTGATTCTCTCATTTGAAATGTTGAATAAATTTTAATAAATATTATGCACCTGTTCAACCACCTACATCACAATCAGGATACTCGTCAGTATCCTAAAAGAGATGAAAAACTTCCTTTCTAATTTTTAGCAGTCAATATTTTGGTGACCATGGCAATTCACAACTGCAAATATTTCTTTCATTTTACAATATGTGTCTGAGAAGCTAGGGGAATCTTCAGGATTTCTGGAACCTTTAAATAGAGAAACTTTGGGGATTCTTTATTAGGGAATTAAAAAATAAAGAAACTGAGAGAATGAAAATTATATGGGAACATTCTCTAAGCATTTTTAGTTGGTTTTACTTTTTCCTCAGTCACATGGGTAAATGCCCTTATTATTCTACCATGACATTTCCTTAGATATGTTCAATTATAGGATTCTAACTTTATGAACTTTAATTTTCAAGGGTCCAATAACTCAGATCATACATATAGACTGTAGGTTCGTGTTTATGTAATTGTAAAAATACAATTTTTTGCATCTTTGCCTAGTTACCCTGAAGCTATTACTGATCCTGCATACAAGGGACAAATTCTTACAATGGTCAACCCCATTATTGGGAATGGTGGAGCCCCTGACACGACGGCACTGGATGAACTAGGACTGAAAAAATATTTAGAGTCTGATGGAATTAAGGTAATAACAGAGAACATTAACAGTCTCATTTTGGGAAGCATATAGTCGATTCCTTTTTAAGAATTAAGAAAGGCAAAGTTGAGCCTTCAATATTGTAATGTTGTTGTTGAGTGCTGTCGAGTCAGTTCCAACCCATAGCGACCCTGTATAGGGTTTCCAAGGAATGACTGGTGAGCTTGAACCACTGACCTTGCAGTTTAAACCGACTTTGCAGTCCAGTGCATTAACCCACAGCGCCACATCTCAATATTGTAATGGTGTTGTTGTTATGTGCCGTGGAGTCGGTTCTGATTCATAGTGACCCTGTACAGGGTTTCCGAGGCTGTAAAGCTTTACGGGAGCAGAAAGCCTCATCCTTCTTCCATGGAACAGCTGGTAGTTTCGAACTGCTGACCATGAGATTAGCATCCCGATTCATAACCAATATTGTAATACATACCATTAAATTCATGTTTTCAACCTCCTTCTGATGTATATGAGTATAATCTTTAATGCGACATTACTTTGACAGTCTTTTTTTTTTTGAATGCATTGCATTTGTTCTTAATGCACTGGATCAAGTTTGGTTCAATTTGGAAAAATATTGTCTTAAGTCTGAATAACAACAATGTTCTAGGAATGATTCGTGAGTCAGTCATCTTATAAAATTAGTTTGGCAATCAACTCTGTGTCTGTAATTTGTCTTTAATCTAATCTGTTTTAGGAGATGAATAAGCAATACTTTATATGACTATTCCCAAGTAAATACACTAAGTTTTCCTAGCCATGACAAATTGGGGAAACTCTTAGAAATGTGCATTATATAAACAATTTTGAAAATTTGTACTCCAAATTCCCTACTCTATTTTGTTTTCTTTTCTCCACCCTATTTTTTTTTTAAGTTTTTATTGTGAGTTGAGTTAAAGTTTACAGGGCAGATCATTAGTTTTACATTCAAGAAATCGTACACCTTGTTTCATTACAATGATTATAATCCCCGCCATGTACCATCATCAGTTAACAGTATTTGTCTCTATTCATTTAGCACTTTTTTAAAAAAAACACTGTGGCATAGATAACAATTTACACCACCAAAGGGCACATTCTGTAAATTGGCCTCCTGGTGGCCAACTTTCAGTCCCTCTCTTCCCATGAATCTAGAGTCCTCAGCTGCTTCCTCTCTCCATGTCATCATCTCTGTCTCCATCTTTGGTGTTGCTGCTTCTCTCGATAAGATCTCGCATTCTGCTTGTGCTCTTCTCCTTTGATGGTCCTATGGTCCTCTGTTTCTGGACTGTAAGATTAACTACTCCCCCGTTTTTGTTACAAAACTTCTACCTTTACAATTGTGACAGTTGTAATTAGTCAGGATAACAATTACTCACTATTGAATCATAAGAATCTTATCCGTATCTCTTTTTACCAGACCCATCTAGACAAGATGAAAACTATGCAGTGGGAACTATATCCCTCCCCGACCCCCACCGCCGGACACACACACACACTCTTAAACTAAAGTCCCTCTTGAAAAGTTGTAAGTCAGTCACTTTGTGCCTTTATTGTCCCCTCATTTTAGGTAGCCAGTGTCTAAGTTGCCCGTCCCTATCTGCCCCATGTATAGAGGGGATAGCATTGATACTAGATATGAAGACTCCTTCCCTCTCTGTTGGTATTTAGAGCTATTACCTCTGTGAGTATAGGTCAAATTCATCAAATGGTAGCAATTTACCCTCGTTTCCTTTATCAAAAATAGTTTGTGGGTTTTTTGTTTTCTTTAGTCTTCCTCTAGTCCAGTTTCTCCCCTCACTTTGTATCAGCTGGATACTTCACTTTCAGCTCTAGCCCTCTGTGGCTATGACCTTGTCCATGGGCTCAGGTGTCCCCAGGTCTCACTACCAACCAACACTTCCTCTTCTCTCTCTCATCTCCAGGTCAATGGGAGTCTATGGAACATGGTTGAATTTAGTCCATTTCTTCATTGCTGCCTGTCCTCCTTTTCCACTCACCAGTAGACCAATGTGGTCACCAGCAAGCTTACATGCCTGCTCATGTGCTCCCCTTACATGCCTGTTCATGTGCTCCATGTTTCTGTCTTAGAGGGGGGTTTGTCCTGAAGGAACTTGATTGCTTGCCTCACCACCCTATTTTTGACCATTTAGCTTAGCTCTCAGGATTTGACACTTTTTAAATCAAATGACTCAGTATACCCAACACCTAACCCAACCCAGAGTCATCGAGTTGATTCCAATTTAGAGTGACCCTATAGTACAGAGTAAGGAGCTCTGTTAGCATAGTGGTTACAGATTGGACTGTGAACTGCAAGGTCAGCAGTTCGAAACTACCAGCCGTTCCACAGGAGAAAGATGAGGCTTTCTGCTCTTGTAAAGATTTACAGCCTCGGAAACCCTGTACAGGGTCGCTATGAGTCAGAACCGACTCCAACAGCACATAACCAACCAACCATAGTACAGAGTAGACCTGCTTCTTCGGGTTGGTTTCTGAGGCTGTAAATCTTTAGGGGAGCAGACAGCTTCATCTTAGTTGGAGTGGTGGCTGGTGGGTTTGAAACACTGACTTTACGATTAACAATCCTACACCTAACACACTATGCCACTAGGGCTCCCTCCTGTAAACGTAGATTAAACAAATATATTTTATTCTTCATGTACATTAAACAACTAATTATTAAGTACATTACTAATACATTTCATGCCAAAAATTTGAGGTACCAAGCAGTCTACCTCAGTTTAGTTGTGTGGAATCCAGCAAGCCAGATAAGCTTGCTCCTCCACAGGATATGATTTTTAAGAGGAAATATGTATGAATTGTTGCTCGCCTTTCTTTCTTTGTTGTTGTTGTTGTTAAGTACCATCGAGTCGGTTCCGACCCATAGCGACCCTGCATAGGGTTTCCAAGGAGTGAATGGTGAGCTTGAACCGCCGACCTTGCAGTTCAAACGGCTTTGCAGTCTGGCGCATTAACCCACAACGCCACACCAGGACTCCTAAAAATGATTTGTTGTTGTTGTTAAGTGTCATCGAGTTGGTTCGGACCCATAGAGACCTTGTATAAGGTTTCCCAAGGAGCAGCTGGTGATCTTGAACTGCCAACTTTGTGGTTCAAACCAACTTTGCAGTCGAGTGCATTAACCCACAGCACCACACCAGGACTTACAGTGCCACTCTGGTGGTGGTTTTGTGCCGTGGAGTCGGTTCCAACTCATAACGACCCTGTACAGGGTTTCCAAGGAGTAAATCTTTACGGGAGCAGAAAGCCTCATCTTTCTCCCACGGAACAGCTGGTAGTTTCGAACTGCTGACCTTGTGGTCTGCAACCCGATTCATAACCACTAAGCTACCAGAGCATAAAAAAGGATTTACAAATATCTGGAGGGAGGCACAGCTTTAATTGCAATCCTTCCCCACCCCCTGCCTCTTATCTGAGGGTAAATCCTGAGCAATGTGGTTCTGCTCTTCATTGTTACTGCTGAGTTTAGGAAACAGATGAATTGGGGTATCATGCTCCTCATCTGGGGGCCTGTGTCAGAAGAAAAGTTGGGGTGCTATTCTTGTAGTATAGGGTTATGCCTAAGCATCCTACTTTATCTCACAGAGATTGACATAATTTGTTTTCATAACATATGGCAGTTTATAATTCAAACACCCCCTTCCTGAGCACCACCAAGCAGGTTCTATTGCAGTCACTGGATGAGGGATTTAGCTAAGGGTGGCCCTGCCCTTGGGTTGAGGGGGAAACAGCCCTGAATGTTATGATGTCATTCCTGCTGAAATCATCATTTCTTTCTTTAGGTCTCCAAAATTTTTAACCTTATATAAGTGGATGCAATAAAGTCTTTTAAAAAATGCAAATGACTTCTTAAGACAAGAATTGGATAATATTTTGTGATCACTCCTTAATATAACTGTTGGTCTTTCTAGATTTCAGGTTTGTTGGTCCTGAGTTACAGTAACGAGTACAACCACTGGCTGGCTACAAAGACTCTAGGGCAATGGCTACAGGAAGAGAAGGTGAGAAACATGATAAAGGACTGATGGATGGTGACCTTGGAAAATTGGGAGAGTGTCTGTAGATTTAAGAGGGCCAATCAGATGAGGCAGATTATGCAGTTTTTGAATCACAATTGATGAATACAGATGCTTTATGCTTTATGTTTGGAATCTCTTTTAGAGAGATGTTTTTTCTAATACAGGTTGAACTATCTGGACTCATCCTTTTTTAAACCTTGTTGTTGTGTGCTGTTGAGTCAGTTCGATTCATAGCAACCCTTATAGGGTTTTGGAGAGTAGCTGGTGGGTTTGAACTGCTGACCTTGCAGTTACCAATTCAGGGCTTATTTTACAGCACCACATCAGGGCTCAAAACTCAGAATTCTCATTTTAACCACTAGGTGACACTCTTACATGCTTAGTAGCATTTCTTAATCTGGTTAGACCTGACTGGAAGGCACCTAATGACAAAAGGGGATAGAGAAAGTTTTTGAACTTTGAAGCTAGTCAGTTGAACAATTTAAGGTTCCCCTGTCCTTTATCCAGGTTCTATTTATGTAACTTGCTTCGTGGGTTCTAGGGTGACTGTGTAGACCATGCAATCATTTCACACCATACTTTCTTCACCTTTAATTCTTATGAGTATAAACAAACCATGACTAAGTCTCCTTGGGCTAGTATTATGACTGTATGGCATTTAATTAGTTATAACCACATTTGAAATAATGAGCCAAATATTTATAAAAAATTATTTTGTACCCTTCAGATTTTAAGTATATTTTTCTGATCAAATAAGACGATTCTTTTGGTTTGAGCACTGGGAGTGCTTAACCTTCTATGTTTTATTTCTGCCTTTGCTTTTGTTGACTTACTGCTGAACCAGTAATAGACACGATGCTATTCTTAGAAAACTCTGCCTCTCTAATGAGCGTCTATGTGTCGGAGTTGAATGTTGCCTGCCTCTTCCTGTCAAATCAAAAAACCTTGATCTTGGCTCTCTAGTTCTCATTCTTTACAAATCTTAAAGAGAGAGGAAGGCGTCTGTAGCACATACTGGCCCATTACTATTTTCTCTGAAGCATTAGCTGAATTTACCTCCAGTATCAAGACAATTAATTCCTTTAATGGTCATTCAGGAGACTCCTTATTTTATTGTATTATTATTTTTAATGTTTCTTTTGTGTCATTTGTTGTTGTTTTTGTTAAGTGTAGTCGAGTAGGTTCCAACTCAAAGCTACCCTGTATAGTGTTCCCAAGGGGTGGCTGGTGAGTTTGAACCACCAACCTTGTAGTTTAAACTGACCGTGTGGTCCAGTGCTTTGTCCAACAATGCTGCACCAGGACTCTGTTGTATTATTTAGGGCACACAGTGTTATAGCTGCTCCATCTGAAATATAATTATTTTAGTATAACTCTAACCAGGAACAGATTATCCAATAAGCAATGTAAACATGGGTCTATAATGAACAATTTCACATCGTTTTACCACATCTTTGAGATATTGTTCACTACAGATTCATAAGTAAGCACAAACAAACCCATGTTTACCTTGATTACTGTGTACTCTATCCCTGTCAGAATCCCAAACTAGACCTACTGCCACTGAATCCATTCCAACTCATGTTGTTGTTAAGTGCTGTCGTGTTGGTTGTGACTCATAGCAACCCTGTATAGGGTTTCCAAAGAGTGGCTGGTGAACTTGAACTGCTGACCTTGTGGTTCAAGCCAACTTTACAGTACAGTGCATTAACCGGCACCACCACACTAACTCCATTCCAACTAATAGCGACCCTATAGGGTTTCTGAAACTGTAAATCTTTACTGTAGCAGACAGCCTCACCCTTCTTCCATGGAACTGCTGGTAGGTTTGAATTGCTGACCTTGCAGTTAGTAGTCCAATGCTTATTGCAAATTTCAAAAGAGGCTTTGATTCTGTAGGAAGTTACTGTGGTGTTGGGCGAGATGCCAGCTGTACCTAGAAATAGAATCTTTTATGTGGTGGTACATTGAAACTGCTCACTGCAGATTAGTAGATGGGCACAAGTAAGCCCAGGCCTCTCTTGCTTATTGGGTGAGTGATACTGAGTCTAACACATGCTCTCCTTATTGGTAAACCTTTCACTAATCTGAATCTTGTCACTTGATCTCAGAAGTACAGAGTGGGAAAGGCTCTAAGATGATAACTAGTTCAGTTGCTGCTGTTCCCAGGAAGGACAAAAACCTTCCTCAGAATCACTCAGGCGGCAGAGCAGCCATTAGAATCTGATTCTTAACCCGCTGCTCTTTCAATATATCACCTCTTTCTCCACCCAATCTCCTTAAAGAAACAGAAAGAAAATATTGATGGGGGTCTTAGTGATTAGTAGGATAGCAAGTTTCATTATTACATGACTACTCATGACCCTTTAGAGATACAGGAAGTCTCCGTGTTGCAAACAAGATCTATTCCTAACTCTGTCTTTAAGAATTTGTAGGGAGTTGGAACAAGTGCATAATGTTCTTATTTTAGCCTTACTTTAGTGTAAGAAAAGACCTATGATGGTACAATGGTTAAGCACTTGGCTGCTAACCGAAAGGTTGGCTTTTCCAACACACCAGACTGTGGCGCTGTAGCATTTGACCACAAGGTTGGTTTGAACCTCAAGGTTGGCAGTTCAAATTCACCAACTACTCCTCAGAAACCCTATACAGGGTCGCTATGAGTTGGAACCAATTTGACAGCACTTAACAAGAACAACAACAAGCCACTCCATAGAAGAAAGATGTCACAGTCTGAGTTTGTAAAGATCTACAGGCTTTAAAATTTTCTGGGCAGTTTGACCCTGTCCTATATGTGATTATCATGAGTCAGAAATGAAGAGTGTGAGCAAGGGTTGATTCAGTCATTTCAAAATGAGGGCAAATTTTCATAACCTTAAAGGACATGGTGCTGTAGGATAAGCACTGGTATGCTCATTGCAAGGTTGGAAGTTCACAACCACCAGCAGCTCCTTGACAACCCTATACAGGGTTGCTATGAATCAGATGGACTTGATGACAGTAAACAATGACAGCAACAGGAGTTGTGACTTATTTTCTAACCTAGGGAGTACTTGCATTTGTTGAGTGTCTATATAGACTAGGGACATTTGGTTCAACACAAGAATTTGCATATGCTTTACATATGATTGCTTATGACATTCACAGATCTCATTTCATATATATGTAGACTGTTGTGTCATTGAGTCAGTTCCAGTCCATAGCGACCCTGTATAGGGTTTCCTAGGAGTGGCTGGTGAGCTTGAACCAACTACTTTGAGGTTCAAATGGATTTTGCAGTCCAGTACATTAACCCATAGTATATATAAAGTTATTTAACATCCTTAATTAAAAGCAACAAAACTGCTGTAGTAGGAGATAGATGTTCCATTTTTTATTCCTAGTAAAGGCCTTGATATAAAGAGTTCTGTGCCCAAGTGTAGCAGCAATTTACCGTGTTCTGACAGCACTGTCACCCTGGGTCAAAGGCATGAAGGAGTGGGGAAATTATTTACTGCTCAAGAAGATAGATGAGGCTAAGTTTGTAACTTGAAAACAATATGCTGGATCTAATTTACTCCAATTTCACTGTCACTACAATTTTTTTCTTGTAGGTCCCTGCAATTTATGGAGTGGATACAAGAATGCTGACTAAAATAATTCGAGACAAGGTAAGGGCTCATCTTTAGCCAAATCTATGCTGCTTCACTGAACTCCTTTCTTCACCTGTGAATATGTTAAGAGTGACTCTGGAAAACAATGAGTCTGACCAGTTTCTGCTGTGCAGAGCTCTGTCATTTTGTTTCACTATTTCCTGTGTGATTCTCAAGACTAAATACTTGACTGGTATGTTCATTACTGGATGGACTGGAGATTAATTCTCCCAGCAGGATTTTATTGAATGTCCACTGTATCAATCACCTCCAAAGCAGTGAAATAAAATATATAGTCAAGACATTTGTAGTTCAGCTCATGTTACAGAACCTACTTTAGTAAAACAAGTGGAGAAGGTACCTGAGTGCGTAATATTTTTCCCTGAATTGAGTAACTATTTGCTGAAGAATGCAACCAAATGTACAACATTAGTGTTGCTATTTCTTGTTCGTCTTGAAGGTGTTATTTGTAAAATTAGTTAGTTATATGAGGGGGTTGAAAAAGTTCTGGGAAAATGAAATTAAATGATAATGCCATTTTTCCACACGTTTTTCAAATCCCTTTTTGTGAGTATGCCAAATGGACTTAGAATAAGTTCCTGAATGCTATTGTCTTTCTTGATATTGTACCAATGACCAAAGTGATAAGAGAAGACTTTTCCTTGGCTTTCATATCTTATGACTGTGACATCTGACTGCTCCTCTGAGAACATTTTTTCACCTTCTACTTGTTTCTTCTTGTTATAAGATGTTGACACAATTTTTATTTCCCCTTCAGATCCCAAATTAGAAAGAAACCTTTACTTCACAAGCATTAATTAAAATTTCCAAATACACCCAAAGTTTTCTTATTGAGTTATACTACATAAAAAATAATATCCCTGGTACAATTTGAAAGTACCACCATATATGAAATAAATGTATTACAAGAAGATCTGTTGTTGATTTCTTTTAAAAATATTTATTGATGCAAGATTTCTGTAAAGAGAAAGAAACAGCAGTGTTGAAAATAAGGGCATGGGCACATCTCATGGCCAAAAGTCAGATTTTATGAAACCATTCTACCCAACCAACTCTGCTTTCATTTCCTCCTCTAGGATTTTCGTGAGAGTAGATGCTAGCAAGAGTAGCATCTACTAAGTAGATTCCTAAGTAGATTATTGTATTTTCCTAGCCCAATGATGGGATGGATGCAGTAATCAACCATGAAATTACCTGGGTGACATTTGCAGGGAATAAAACTAGGAAATTTGATTAAAGTTGCAGGTTTGGAAGGTTGAATAGAATGTAGTCAGACCTAATAATCAAGGGAAACTCTTGACAAGACCACACTATATCCTTTTATCAAAGGCAGTTAAGTTTTCAATATATGGTTGAAATAGTCATATTGCCTATTATACATTAGTACTAGTGATACTGGCTCGTAGTTTAGAAATTTCACTTCTGTTAGTCTAAGGATGAAGAAGTGAGATTGTATTTCATTCAGTCTGCATTCAGAAAAAGTGAATAAGATGTAAGAATCAAATTCCAGAGTTGTTGCTATTAAGTGCTATAGAGTCGGTCCCGACTCATAGTGATACTGTATAGGGTTTCTGGGTGTTACATCCTTCTCTTGTGAACCTCCAATGTTAAGGAGTCATTATAAATATAATCAATGAGATCCTGTATCTGAGACTTGAGGTATAAGTATAGACCACCAGGATGTTTAGTGATCCACTATGGAGTCAAAAGATGAGTTCTAGTTAGGTTCCCCTGATTTGGAGACTGCAGCGGATTTTCACAATAGCAGTTAAATCACAATCGTGTCTGCATTGTGTGTTGGAACTTTTTACCCTCACTCCCTTGGCCACAAACAATTTCTCTACTAAGAAAAAAGACTAAGAGAGAAATAAAGACTTTCATCAATGCCCTTTAATGTAATAGTTTTCTAGGAGAAAGACAAATCAGATTGTTTTAACCTTTTTTCTTAATAAAATCTTGATTACTAAATATATATAGCATGCCAATTTCTTAAATTGATTGAAATAAACTAATTTTTATTTAGTTGCTAATGGTTATTATACTTATCTGTTAATAAGTAAATCTTAAAACACAGCTAATAAAAATAACCTTTAGTATGATTAAAATATTGTGTGCTGTCGAATCAGTTCCTACTCATAGCGACCCTGTATAGGGTTTCCAAGAGTTGCTGGTAGATTCAAACTGGCCAGTGTTTCTCCTATAGCCCCACACCAGGGCTCTTGATCAAAATCACAAGGCGTATCTGTGAAAACTTCAGAAGAGGTTAATTATTCTTTAATGTTCAGACACATAGGAAGACCTGGACATAAGAATGTCCAAAGCAGTAAATATATTCACTGTCACATCTCTAAATTTATGACATGTAGGATTTCACATTCTTTTTTGTGTGTGAATTCATTTTAGTATTATAATGGATTTCTGTTCCCCTTTTTATCCCCCCAATTTTCTTCCATTTAGACTTTTTTTCTTCTCAACAGATTGTTCACATCTCCCATGAAATCCCTTTTACCATATGCACTAAGGAATAGGTACTCTAGATGCCCCAGTATGAACCCACCTAGAATCTGGTGATCTGGATTCTGGTGCCTTTTGACATTGCCTACTTCGTACACCAGGCAACGGACACAGCACGAATGATTCTGATTGTGTGTCTCACAATGTACTGTGCAAATTACTTCCCCCTCCCATTGGGGAAGATGAAGATTTAGTGTTGATGATTATGAGTACTCACAAAGACATCTAAGTCTTAGAGCAGCTGTTTAAGTCCCTGTGAGTGTATCTTGTCAGCAACTTCATCATGGCACACTTTGAAATGTCTAATTTTTAATTTGCTAGGGTACCATGCTTGGGAAGATTGAATTTGAAGGTCAGTCTGTGAATTTTATGGATCCAAATAAGCAGAACTTGATTGCTGAGGTTTCAACTAAGGTGAGAGTTTTACTTCATATTTATTTACTATTTTCATTTTATTACCTTTGGATATACCATTCCTGCAATATCAAAATCTTCATTGAAACAGAAATAAAAATAGTTTCATAATAATTAAAAAACATATTACAAAATCAGTGCTTTTAATGTTAGCAACTTTTAATTACAAGAAAACCTTCATGCTCTGATCTAAAAGCCATTCACTTTTTTTCTTTGGTGGTTTGTTTCTCTCTCTCTCTCTTGTTCTTTCTTTTCCTTAGCTCAGTGCTTTAACAAAATCAAATAAAAGAGGAATTGAACTGTCAGGGGTGGGCATAGTAATGATTAGGAGTCAGAGCTAATGGTCTGCCAGAAAGCCAAAAGACTGAAACTGTATACAAACCTGACCCCGTAACCAAAATCTAGGGTCATTTTGTACAGGGAAAATACTCCTACACACTGAAGATTTATAGTTTGGTCCAAAAGCTAAAGTTCATAATGATGACTGTGTCACTCCAAAGTGAAATATGTAAAGTGTATATTTTCAAGGTTGTATAGAATACATTTTAGAAAGATGTCCATTGGATTTGATTTAATACTGCTAATGTAAATGCGACTCTCTAGGACTAAGATCTTTGGGGAATATAGATCCTGGTGGGGTTGGAAATAAGTAAACCACCATGCAACAAATCGTATGATACATGCTCTCCTTGGATTGTGCTCAGAAAACCACAAGGGTAGCTTTAGGGTAGCATTACAATGGGATAGTGAATCAGGGAAGGCTCTGCAGAAGAGGTAGGCTTGTTTTGAGACCTAAAGGACAGGTAGTAGCTAGGGGAATGAAGAGCTAGGTGAACTATGGTTCAGGCAGAAGGAATGTGTGTTGCTGAGAGCCATGATAGTGATTGTTGGTTGTGTGCTACCACGTTAATTCAGACTCCTAGCGGCTCTCTACAGGTGTTCCAAGGCTGTACATCTTTATAGAAGCAGAAACTCATCTTTCTTCCTTGGAGTGAGCTGAGATACTTTGTTGTTGTTGTTGTTGCTAAGTGCTGTTGAGTCGGTCCTGATTACAGTGACTCTGTCTAGGGTTTCCAAGAGTGTCTGATGAGTTTGAACTGACTACTTTGCAGTTCAGATCGACCTTATGGTCAAGTGCTTATTCTACAGCCAAATATGAAAAACATGATGTACTTGGAGAGCTAGGCATAGGGTGGTATGGCTGAACCGAAGGAGGGAGTCCCACATATTGATGAGTGTCCAATGGTGAGTCCACAGGGATTACCTGAGTCTAGATCTAGAGGATTTAAAGTCATTGGCAACAATACTAAAAACTATTGAGAACTTATTCTGTGTCATTTAGGAGCAAAGTATAACTAGATAAAAGAACAAGTAACCAGAAGGTTACTGCAGCTAACTAGAACAGAATGTAGGAAAGCCTGAACTCAGCAGTTTTTGTTGTTAAGTGTCTTCCATTCGTTCCAGTTCATAGCGACTCTATATAGGGTTTCTGAGACCTTTTTTTAAAAAAAATCTTTGAGGGAGCAGAAAGCTTTGTCTTTCTCCTATAGAATGGCTGGTTGGCTTAAACCACTGACCTTGTGATTTGCAGTCTGGTGCTCACGGAGCCACAGAACTCTCAGGAAACTCTATACAGGGCTGCTATAAGTAGGAACACACCCACCAGCACACAACCACTATCACCACCTCAGGGAGAATGGTGGTGGTGGGGTGGTTATGTGCTGGGGAGTTGGTTCTGATCCGGTACAGGGTTTCTGAGGCTATAAGTCTTTACAGGAGCAGAAAGCCTCATCTTTCTTCCTAGGAACAGATAGTAGTTTCAAACTGCTGACCTTGAGGTTAGCAGGTGGATTTGTAATCACTATGCTACCCAACCTCATTTCTCAAGAGATTTGTGTTGTTGTTAGGTGCCATCGAGTTGGTACTAACTCATAGTGACCTTATGCACAGCAGAACGAAACACTGCCTGATCTTGGGCCAACCTCAATATTGCCACGCTTGAGCCCATTGATGCTGCCACTTTGCCAATCCATCTCCCTTGGGGTCTTCCTCTTTTTCTCTGACCCTCCACCTTATAAAACATGATATCCTTCTCCAGTGACTGGTCCCTCCTGACAATATGTCCTAAGTATGAGAGATGAAGTTTGGCCATCCTGGACTCCAAGGAGCACTCTGGTTGCACTTCTTGCAACACAGATCTGTTGGTTCTTTTGGCAGCCCATGGCACTTTCAATATTCTCCTCCAACATCATAACTCAAAATCATCAATTCTTCTATGGGCTTCCTTATTCACTGTCCAGCTTTCGCATGCATATGAGGTTATTGAAAATACCATGGCTTGGGTCAGGTGCAGCTTAGTCCTCAAGCTGACATCTTTGCTCTTCAACACTTTAAAAAATTCCTGTGCAGCAGATTTTCCTAACACAATACGCCATTTGCTTTCTTGATGGCTGCTTCCATGAGTGTTGATAGTTGATCCAAGAAGAATGAAGTCCTTGACAACTACCAGAAAACATACACTAGCTATCTCTAGTATCTGCTGCTTAGTCAATATCTCATACTTTCTCCCAATATATTAGCAATAATAGTTCTTGTTAACCACAGTCATACTATCATGTAATAATACTCAATTACATGTATAATTGTTTTCCATAAGCAAAGTATGGATTCTTAACTCTCTAATCAGAAGTAGTATAACATATCCTGAGATATATGATGAATACATGGTAACATTGACTGGTTGCATCATGGATGGCATTCCCAATATGCCAGCACAGAACTCATTCAGGAGCCTTAGAAAGGATGCTTTCCCTTTCCCTACACCTGCTCCTCTGTGAAATGTTTATTTCACAAAACAGAATGACTGTGAAGAATAGCAACGCATCTACAAGAGTTCCAGCTATGAGATTATTTTTCAGTGAGCTTTTAAGTTTTTTACTAAAAGGTTATTTAAAGAGTAAAAGCAGCCTGATGCAGAGAAAACACACATATTGGTACTGGAAGAGAGATCAAACTGGCTCTGTTCACATGGACACAGGGGATGAAGACTTTGAATCTCTGGGAATCAGTACCTAGTCCTGACATTGATGCTGGGTAGGGACGTGCACTCGTAACACACTGAAACATAAAATATGGGTCATTAAAGAACGTAATTTTTTACTTATGAATGTAGTAATGTCTATATTTGGAATTTACCCCTGCCATTTGTAATATTGGAGTCCAGGTGTGGCGCTGTGGGTTAATGTGTTGGACTGCGAAGTTGGTTTGAATTGCAATGTTGGCAGTTCAAGCTCACCAGTCGCTCCTCAGAAACACTATACAAGGTCTCTATGAATCAGAAATGACTCAAAGGCACTTAACAACCACATTTGCCATATCACCTCTGATTTTTAGTTTTCAATTTTGTAGACTCAAATTTTCCCTTTATTTGTTTCTACATATTTTCCCATGAAGACATGGAATTCTAGAGATTTATTATTACTTTCCCTTATTAGAATGATAAAATTTTATAATCGAGAACAAAATTAGGCATCTAGGTTAGTAGTTTTCAATTGTGAGGTACATTTTCCTGGAAAATAATTCTGTGGTCATATTAGATTGAAAAATGCTGTACAATGTATTCTTCTCTTGGAGAGTTCTAATGCAAATTAATTATATTCAAGTGTCTGTGAAGTTTTCACTTCTGTCATTCTTTGTGGAGAGTTTATGGTGCATTTGTGGAGAGATCAGCATAGCGAATCAAGGGAAAGATTATAATGGTAAAGATTTGGTCTATATTTTAATGCCAGTTTAATTAAATGATTTTATTATAACTGTAATGTCTATTTATATCAGGGGGATATATATATATATTCTGTAAGTTGTTTGATTGGCTATGTCCTTACGGAACATTTTATAACTGAATTCATTATCTTGTAATTGCAATTTGATAGAGCCACAATTAGATGGTAATATTGCTTTACTTTATAGCAAAAGTCTAAATTTAAGAATAAATCTATGCTTTCCAAAGTATCTGAGGAGAGAGAGATTATCCACAACATTCATGGTTCAGTTCAGCAATAATTCCTCCAAATCATGAAAAGACTGAAGTATTCATTTTTTTCCCTCCAACACAATCAGCAGTAGAAAACGTATGGCAGATTCTTAACATTTCTTCCCCTCAAGTGTAGTCAAAGGATTATGATTTCACATTCTATAGATTTTGTGGAGAGAGATATATTTCAGTTAAAGTAAAATGCTCTTGTGGATATCTAGATTGTGATTTTCATCTAAACCCTTTGGTAACCTATAAAATTATCCTAACTACCGAATGTGCTCGCTAGCTCTTGAAACAGACACCATTGTGGGTGCCTAGCTCCCCAAGTTTCACTCTCCGTATCTTTCTACTTTTCTCCCTCTCTCATATGTATTATTTCTCCTTTTATGACTTTGGGGAACTGCTTCTTGGTTAAATGCTTATGAAAATGGATCTTCCTCTAAGCAGTGCTTCAGACTTAGGGAAGGGTTGGTTACAATATGCTCTGGGATCCTCTTATGAAATCTACCATTTAAATGTAAATGATTGCTCAGTAACCTAAGGGGCCTATAGTCTCCGCTACCTATGAATTCCTGTGACTCCCATACTGATTAGAACCCATGGCATAAATTTAGTACATAATAACTCAGCTTTACTCTATTCGATCTCACTGCAAGTTGAGGATCAAGTGATATTTAAAGTGTGATGTATCTATTACCACATCTGTCTAGTCTGCGACAGGCAATAATACTAGAATATTCCATTTGCTACTGGTTGCAAAACATGGGAAAGATGATTGTTAACTACGGAAAAAACTGATTTCTTAGGGATCATTGTTATTACTGTAATCAACAGTTTATATAAAACGGCAAAGTACTTTTTTCTCATAAAAAATAGATGCAGGCTGTGGCACTAGCTTTGCCTTTTTTACAAATTGATTGTTAACTGGCAGTCACTCCCTCGTAGTTAACAAACAATCTGTTACCAATGTAAATGCAGACTATCTTCAGGCATGTTTATGATATTGTGTGTGGCTCATAGTTGGAACTTCTCTCTCAATCTTTGTTTTATAAAATCGCAGGATGTCAAAGTATTTGGCAAAGGAAATCCTACAAAAGTGGTGGCTGTAGACTGTGGGATAAAGAACAATGTAATCCGCCTCCTGGTAAAGGTAAGATTTGTTCCTTCTCAAAAGTGAGGGTGTGTAATATTGTCAGTGGTAAGATAATTTCCTGTTTCAGGGAAAGCTTGTGCATTCCTCAGAAAGCAGGGTTATCTACTTTCTTCTTGTTGTCTTTGATCTACAAAATAACGCATTTATCTCTGCCAGTGTCAAATTATCCAATAAGCAAGATAAGCACAGGTTTACTTGTACTTATCTACTAATCTGTAGTGAACAATTTCACTTTTTTCACCACATCAAAGATTCTGCTTCTGGGTATGGCCAGCGTCTGTTTCTCTCTCTACCTCACAGCCCCTTCTGAAGGAATCAAAGCATCTTTTCCAATTTACAATCCCTGACAGGAACTGAATATTCAGTAAGCAAGAAAAATTGTGGGTTTGCTTGTGCTTGTTTCTTAATCTACGGTAAACAATGTTACATGTGCCCCCCCACACTGCACTTGCATCTTTTTTTTTTTGTGTAGTGTGGTGAAAACATTTGAAACTATTCACTGTAAATTAGTAACCCATATTTACCTTGCTTATTCAGTAATCTGCCCCTTATCCCTGTTGAAATGACTGATGTAATATCGTGTGGCTCTGTGGGTTAATGCGTTGAACAGCAAGGCCAGTGGTTCAAGCTAAGCAGCTGCTCCTAATAAATTGTATATGGGGTCATTATGAGTCAGAACTGACTTGATGACATTTATTAACAATACGCTATGTTTTGTTTTGTCTTTTAAAAAAGCAAAAACAAAAATACCTCAAGGGCCACTATAACATGAAAGAAAACAATCCTTGTTCTGTTCATGTACTCACTGACATTTTATCACATGCCACATTCACATTCTTTGGGGTAAAACCAAAGAAAAAACCAAAAACCCCAAGCTAACTGTTACTGAGTCAATGCCAACTCATGGTGACCCTGTATATGGTTTCTGAGGCTGTAAATCTTTATGGGAGCAGAAAACCTCATCTTTCTCACATGGAGCCTCTGGTGGGTTTGACTGCAGACCTTGTAGTCCAGTGCTTATCCCAGAGAGTTGGTTCCAACTCAGGGACTCTGTATAGGGTTTTCAAGGAGCAGCTGGTGAGTTTGAAGAGCTGACCTTGCAGTTCAAACCAACCTTGGTGCCACACCAAAAACCTATAACCACCCAGCTAATGGCTCTTTCAGTTCAGTTACAATTATTATGTACTGTGTGTTTGCAGGGATCACACTTTGATCCCTTTCACAAGTACTTTGTATAGACTCCTACATAACCAACTAAGTAGCCTTAGTAGCTTAATGGATTACTAGCTGGGCTGCTAACTAAAAGGTCAGCACTTTGAATCTAGAAGTTGCTTTTTGGGTGAAAGATGAGACTTTCTGCACCTGTAAAGATTTACAGCCTTAACCTTATTCAGGGTCATTATGAACCATGATTGACACAGTGGTACACACCACCACGCACAGGACGAATTGAAATGAAACCTTGAACATTCTTAAGAATAACTTAATCACTGTAATAACATTTTGTTAAATATTATTTTTTGGGGGTGTGTGTGGATTTTCCTTTCTCCCTTTTCCCTATCTGTAATTGTGTTCTCTCTTTCTTTCACATGCATACAAACAATATTATCAGAGTTTGGAAAACGTCTTCCATTTACCATCTTCTTCTCTGAGAATATCTAAATCATGATTTCACATTCTTTTCAGTTTTAGTAACACAAATTCACATGGACCTTTCTGGAAAAGATGCTGAAGATGACCTATTCAAATCCCCATTTGACTTCACAATTTTAGTCTATGTTGCCTGACCTCCTATAGCAAGCATCTAAATATCTTTCCTTGAGGGCTTTCTTTGGTTGGGTCAACCCTTTGGGCAGGCAGGGAATATCATAGAATTATTGATCCCTGGGTGCAGCTCTCAACCAATGACTAGAAAGAGTTTGTGTATTTGTTAGCTTCTTTGCCCTGCAGGCGGACTATTTCTAAGGTTATTGTTGTACTCCGGCTTTCACGGTTTCCCAGTGGGCGATGATCCAGTAGTCCATAGTGGTCACTGCTTGATAATGCACACACATGTAGTTAGAGAATCCTATGGTGTCACTTTCCCGCTACCCTACTGATATTTCCTTGAAATATCTCCCAGACAAACTTCTTTCTTTCAAATCCTTGTGTCATAAAAGTTTCTAGGGAAACTGTTAAAGACTTCTTTTTACCCACTTTTGTTTCAAAGAGTTGCTATTTTCTACTAGAATATCAATATTTTAGATAATATGAGAAAATTGTAGGGAAGAAGGTTGATTAAAATTTCAGGAAACAGTACTGATCTAACAGAAAAGAGGCACAATTGAAAACTGTCGAAGTTGGGCCAACTAAAATTTCGTAGAAAATGATTTTATCTTCTTTTGGCAACTCTCTTAGTCTGGTGGTTAGTGAAGAGAACCTATACTTTCACGAGGTCACTCATGAGGTCTATAGGTAATGGAACCTCTCCTAAAGTACACAGAGGACCCTATCTGTTTGTTGTTGTTTTTTTTTTTTTCTGAATCAAAAATTTAGTGGTGCTTTTTCATTCTGTTCCTATTGACCAGTGGGTTCCATTTATAGCACGCAGACTACTATGAGCCACCAAAGAACTTTTTGCTCAATATTATTTGAGATGCACTATTTTTTGCCTTCCCTTTAGGGAGTGGTTAGTCAAGTGAAAGCCGATTAAAATTGCACTTTGCCAAAGGACAATGTTATTAAATGGATCATTTGTGTGGTTCTTTACCAGCGAGGAGCAGAAGTGCATTTAGTTCCCTGGAATCACGATTTCACCAAGATGGAATATGATGGACTTTTAATTGCCGGAGGACCCGGGAACCCAGCTCTTGCCCAACCACTAATTCAGAATGTCAAGAAGGTATGGTGTGCCCTGGGACAGTGTGTGTCGGTGTGTGAGGTGGAGGGAGTCTGCTTTTCTGCTGTAAGGGCTGTAATACATTTCACTTATTCACATATTTTTGACACTTGTATTTGTGACCTCTGAGGTACTGTCAGTATAGATATTCCACAGAGACACCAACAAGGAGACCGCGCCGGAGAAAAAAGGGCCTCTCTTTAGAAAAAGTAATTTTGGGATTGTGTCGATGAGTTAAGAGAGCTGGAGTCCAGCCTCCAAATGTATGTTTCTCTACAGCTAAAAAATGACAACAGATGATCCTAAACATGACCTTAGGGCCTATCAGGCCATCACAGTTCTAAAGTAATACTTGGATTACATTTAATTTATTCTGAATGTTAAGTACATTTCATTGAATTCTAATGCTATGAATTAATCATGTACATATTTATAGGCTAATTTTTTATTCAGTTGCTATTCTCTTTACCATTCTGATTCAGGAAAAAACAAGGGTGTTTCATTGTCATTCCTTCAGAGGCAGTACTTTTGTACCACTATGTTAATAAAAGTTCTCTTTATCCCTGATTTAGATCTTGGGTGATCGAAATGAACCGTTGTTAGGAATCAGTACAGGAAATCTAATAATAGGACTAGCTGCTGGTGCCAAATCCTACAAGATGCCTATGGCCAACAGGTAAGAGACTTCTATAAGCCTTTTGCTGATAGGTCACACTAACTCTGAAATGCCATACAAATGGTATTTCTAAACACAATGGACTTAGAGAATTACTTGTCCTTTTCTTCAGAATCAATATATAGCCATACTGTTTAATGGTTCACAGTTGTATGAGTAGCTGATTCCATTTTTACTGCATTTTTAAAAGACCTCTTTTTCTAATCATAAGTTAGCTGTAGTAGAAAGTTATTTTCCTTCCCTTGGCATAAATCGAGGTTGTAATACTCGAAATAATATGCCAAGGGAAATTGTTCTGATTTTAAGCTTGATTTCAGAGCATTGATAGCATTTTAGGAATTTACCGTGACTTAAGAACTGAGAAATCATCAGAACATTTTCGTTTCACTTGTTTGTGAAAGATGGCATTAATTGAATAACATGGCGATTTCCCCACAGCTTACCCTCCACGTAAAGTATAATTCAAAATGATTTAGGACTGAGCATCATCCTTAATTATCTCCCAAGAAATATCCTCTGGCTTTGAGATTGCCATTCTGGTATCTCCCTTAGAATAAGTCTATCTATTTGTCAATTTCTGTTAAGCTAGTGAATAACTTTTAACTTTGTATTATGAGTGCAAATTTTCCTTTAGTAAAACTGACCATAGAAGTTTAATAGACCCTAGATTTGGCATACAACATAGTTTCTTGAATTGATTTTGTTGCTAAAATTATTGAGATTAACAATCTGTGACTTTTCTTACAGAGTAACTTTCACTAAGCAGTTGAAACTTGAATTTGAATAGTCTTTCTCTTTTACTATTTTACTTCAAATTTATTTCTACTCTTCCCTTCTCTTTTCTTTATTTCCCTCCTTTCTCCAGAGGGCAGAATCAACCTGTTTTGAACGTTACAAACAGACAAGCTTTCATTACTGCTCAGAATCATGGTTATGCTCTGGACAACACCCTCCCTGCTGGCTGGAAACCACTGTTTTTGAATGTCAATGATCAAACAAATGAGGTAAATTCTTTCTAAACCAGTTCAGTGTATGGTGAGAAATGCAAGATTTTGCATATGCTATCATACACTCACCTTTCCTTTGTGTAGGTGGGATTTTGTGTGTGTAGGAGAGGGAACTAGCACTCTTCTATAGGTAATTTCCCATAACCCTCTGTTCTTTTAAAAAGTAATTTCTCTCTGCCTTATTATTCTTTCATCACTTCATTCATAAGACCCATTCTCTGAGTTGTTAACCAGTGACTGTCTTTTGTTCTTACACATTCATTACAAGAAAGTGAGTGGTCCAGATCTATTTGGATGTATGAGGCAGCAGATATCAGTTTAGGGATCTCTAGATTTAGAACTAACATTTATTGTTGTTGTTAAGTGCTGTCTAATCGTTTCTCACTCATAACGACCCTATATAGGATCACCAAGAAGTGTCTGGTGAACTTGAATCACCAACCTTGAGGTTCAATCCAACTTTGCAGTTCAGCTCATTTACCCACGGTGCTATGCTGTTGTTGTTGTTATGTGCTGTGGAGTCGGTTCTGATTCATGGAGATCCTGTACAGGGTTTCCGAGGCTGTAAATCTTTAAGGGAGCAGAAAACCTCACCTTTCTCCAGAGGAACAGCTCTTGACCCTGAGATTGGCAGCCCGATTCGTAACTACTCCGCTACTGGCACTATAATTCTTGATAATTATTTCTCTTGGAGAAGTTATTTAGGAATGAGAGATGATATACGGGTTTGAGTCTATTCTGAACAGAACCTAGAGAGGTCTCAAAGGCTGAAGTCCAAGTCAGATGTTTTTTATTAAGGAAACCACAGTCTGCTGGTATTTCATTGGCTGATTTTCTATTCTTACTACCATGGTCACATGTCAGTCTTTAGGATTCCCAATCCTATTATTTAACAATGTTGTTAGTTTCTAGAATATTCTCAATCATTTGACTTCATTTTTTATTTGAACTTTATTTCCCACTGAATAATACATAGCTGTATTTGACATTCGCTGTTACAGAAATAATTTTTTTCTTGTTTCTTATTCCTTTAGGGGATTATGCATGACAGTAAGCCCTTCTTCGCTGTGCAGTTCCACCCAGAGGTCAGCCCAGGGCCAACAGACACTGAGGTATGTCAGAAAGATGAGGCCTATTAAGTGCATTTTTTTTAATTGTCAGAAATATATTTATGTTTATACTAGAAAATTAAAATAATTACCCCAGATGATCTTGATACAGAGCATTTTCAAGAAGAGTAGTTTGCTAACATACCTATTGTTTAAAAATGTCCCCAAGAATATCATAGCAGAAATTTTCTGTCTTTTAAAAAAATTTAAACCCATTAAGAAACCGGATGCAATGCTATTTTTATTTAAATCCATTATCATTCTAATATATTTAGTTCTGAAATTTACAATGGTTGTACTATGCAAATGAATTCCCTCTTGCTCTCTTCTTCTCATAACTGAAATGAAATTTTAATCCCCCATCTGTGACTTCACAAAAATCCCTATGGCAACTGGTTGTGTAGCCATGAAGGGAGAATAAACAGTGGCAGGAGAAGGAAGAGAAGCAGGGAGGAGGGGGCATGAGTGCACATACATATGGTTCAGATGGCGTCGGAAAAGAACCATAAGGAATGCTTAGAAAAGTTTGTTTTTGATTTAAATATTTTTATTTTTTTGTGAACTGTTGGTTCACTATTCAGACATATTTTTGAAAATAGAGTTTTTGCTTGTACCTAGAAAAGTCTGATGTAGGTAAAGTGGGAAGCGTTTTCCCCTTATAAGCTTCTCTTTCTCACCCCTGAATTACCTTTTCAGGTATTTTTTGTTTGTTTGTTTTTATTTTAATAGTATTAGAAAATATTCGGTCTTAATAGACAAAGTCATTATGATGAAGCTTACAAATAAAATTCTTACAAATAAAATAACTTAATGTGTTATTTTATATATGAGTGTATAATATATATATATATATATATAACATCACTGTATATGCTATATCACTTAATATATGCAAATTTAATTTATTTTACTTCAGGATAGGAGCATTCTAATGAAAATATGTTAACAGTATATACTATCCTTTAATCATCTTTTGCCTTACCAATTAGTTGCAAAATGAATATCCTTGACTGAAATTTATCATGTATTCTGAAAAATCATAAAGTCCTGGTCAAGTTTAACAGCAGTCTTTAGGAATATTTTTAGAGCTGGTAACATTTCAAAAATCCAGTTACCTTTAACTTTAAGATGAATACATAAATATCACTTAATATTTTGTATAACTAGAACTTGATTTAGAAAAAGAAAATGATACTCACTTAAGGGGCGGGAACCTTCTTGCCTTCCTTAGAATGTGTTATCTGAAATACTGATGGTCTGCTGAAAATGTTCTTTTTATAGGACTTGAAGTGACCAATTAGACGATCTAACTCTTACAGTAGCAGATATCTAGTTTTGCCAGGTTTGGTTAAAATGAAACAGAGCATTGCTTCGGAATACTTATACAAAAATCATTATATGTTGTTTATCTGAAGTTCCAGTTTAACTGGGCATCCTATATTTTATCAGGCAACCTGATGAGTCTAGACGCTTCTAACTAGTTGGTTATATTTTTTCTAGTACCTGTTCGATTCCTTTTTCTCACTGATAAAGAAGGGAAAAGGTACCACCATTACATCGGTTCTGCCAAAGCCAGCACTAGTTGCTTCTCGAATTGAGGTCAGTATTTGTGAGCTTAGTTTTTCTTCATGTACTTTGGATTTTCTTTGTCATGTGATGATTTTCTTAAAGTGATTGATCAGATCTCTTCCTATCTCTAGAAAAGAGGATTGAGCATTACTGTGTTCACCCATCACTTTGTGGTTGTAGTTAGTGTTGTCAAGTCCCATCACTTTGCATGCAGTCATTTGGTTTGTTCTTGATGGTCATTGAATTGCTTTATATTTGAATTTTAAATGATACCTTTAAATTTTACTTTTTCTAAAATATTTGCAATAAAATAATTTAATGAAGTTTAGAGTTTAATTTAGCTTAGAATTTAATGTTACTTGTTACCCAATTGGCTTACCCTTTGTATTCTTAAAACACAATTTAAACTAGAGAATTGTTATCAATGATATAATTCTATTCTGTTTCAACTATAAGAATTATTACTATTCAATATCATGAACTTAATGTGTTATTTTATCTCTAATGAACAAATAGATAAGGATTAACACGTAAGATTTGAATTCTGATCTGTTAGAATATATCTGTTAATATGATAAGGTCCTATTGTTTCCTTCATAGTTAAAACATGCACACAGGCATTGTTATTATTATGTAAAATTTTAGAAAGATGTATTTTCGAATGTGTGGCTTAACTTATGTTCAGGCAATATCCAACTGGGCATTGTTTTAACATAAAGGGAAACCAGCTCTTCTTATTTGTATTATTTTCTCCAGTAGTTTTAAAGACCCCCCAAACTCCAGAGCAAATGAGCTGTGGAGTTCTAGGGATCATTCCAATTCCCACAGTGCCTCCTGCTCCACCTCCTACTTCCCCTCCTCCTGGGTGCTGGTGACACCAGCTGGGCTTGGGTACCTTCAGGCTCAGGGCAGCATGGCAACATGCATGATAACGAAGTGGCTAAACCAAAGAGTGTAAACAGTAGTCACCACCAAACACAACCAATCCCTAAGGCCACATCTCCACACCCCAGGTGGCCCCCACTCCACCTGGACTTGCACAAAATCCTGATGATCTGGCCACCAGTGCAGCCACACACGCTACAAAAAAATGCTCCTGTATTTAGTGGATACATCTTGGGCTTTGTCCAGCAGGCTTCCACACGGGTTCAATGTAATAGGTTTAACAGAAATTTAACTTCAGATTGTATGGAGACTGCTTGTGTAGAATATGATGTTTGCACAACAACCCAGTCCCATAATGACTTATACATAGAACATATTGCAGGCATTAAGTGACACACACCTGTATATATATATATATATTTGCATCTATAAATGTTTGTTTATATATATATATATATGTATATATGTGGGGGCTTCCAATGTTCATAGCAGAATTATTTAGGTTGTTGTTGTTAGGTGCCTTTGAGTTGGTACTACCATCTCATAGTGACTTTATGCACAACAGAATGTAACACTGCCCAGCCCTGCCAGCCTCACAATCATTGTTATGCTTTATCTCATTGCCGCTGCCACTGTGCCAATCCAAGACCCTGGGGTCTTCCTCTTTTTCACTGACCCTTCATGTTACCAAATGATGTCCTTCTCCAGGGACTGGTCCCTCCTGATAATGTGTCCCAAATATGAGAGACAAAACTTTCCATCCTGACTTCCAAGGAGCATTCTGACTGTTTCTTCCAGTACAGATTGGTTTGTTCTTTTGGCAGTCCATGGTACTTATAATATTCTCCTCTAACACCATAACTCAAATGCATCAGTTTTTCTACAGTCTTATCTGCTCACTGTCCAACTTTCACATGCTTATGAGGTTATTGAAAATACCATGTCCTTAGTCCTCAAACTTACATCTTTGCTCTTCAACACTTTAAAGAGATCTTTTGCAGCAGATTTTCCAATGCATTATGTCTTTTGATTCCTTGACTGTTTCTTCCATGAGTGTAGATCTGAGCAAAATGAAGTCTTTGATAACAAATCTTATCTTCATTTATCTTGACGTTATTTTTCGGTCCAGTGGTAAGGATTTTTATTTTCTTTAAGTTGAGGTGCAGCCCATACTGAAGGCTTTGGTCTCTGATGTTCATCAGTAAGTATTCTAAGCCCGCTTTGCTTTCAGCAAGCAAAATTGTATCATCTGCATATCACAGGTTGTTAACGAGTCTTTCTCCAACCCTGATGCCATGTTTTTCTTCACATAATCCAGATTCTCAAGTTATTTGCTCAGCATACAGATTGAATATGTTTGTTGAAAGAATATAACCCTTTCACACACCTTTCCTAATTTTAAACCATTCTGTGTTCCCTTGTTCTGTTCGAACAACTGCCTTTTAGTCCATGTACAGGTTCCTCATGTGCACAATTAAGTGTTCTGAAATACTTATTCTCCATAATGTTGTCCATAGCATGTTATGACCCATACAATTGAAAGCCTTTGTGTAGTCAGTGAAGCAGAGGTAAACATTTTTCTGATATTCTCAGCTTTCATCTAAGATCCAAAACACAGTTAAACAGCTTTCAGACAGTCTGTTTTCAGCCATGATCCATTCGATATTAGTAATGATTTCCCTTGTCCCTTGTCCTCTTCTGAATTCACTTTCAATTGCTAGTAGTTACCTGTTGAAGTACTATTGAAACCACATTTGAATTCTCTTCAGCATGATTTTTTTTTCAAGTTTTTATTGTGAATTGAGTGATAGTTTACATGGGAGAACATCGGTTTTGCACTCATCCTGTCGTCCTTCATATCATTGCAATGATTACAATCTTCTCTGTGGATCATCATTCAACAGTATTTGCTTCTATTCCCTGTTTAATTTGTTTTTTTTTGTGTGTGTGTCTGTGTGTACACAAAAACACAGTCAAACATCTTAACATCATTTCCCCTCTTTTACCCATTCAGACAATGCAGCGATCCCTGTATCACAGAGCCCTGTTGTTCCAAGGTTGAGCATACATCACTATTTACCTCTGTCCCATTTACCCCATCTTCAGCATGATTTTGTTTGCATGTGTTATTAATGATATTGTTCAAAATGTTTCATATTTTGTTTGAACACCTTTCTTGTGCATAAGCATATGTATGAATCTCTGCCACTAGGTTGACCAGGTAGCTATGTATTCCTTCCATCTTCTTTTGATGCTTCATGTGTTGTTAATTTTTTTTTTGCCCATATAATCCTTCAGTATTATAACTCTTGATTTGAATTTTTCTTCAGTTCGTTTAGCTTGAAAAATGCTGAGCATGTCTTTTCCTTATGGTTTTCTAATTCCAAATCTTTGTGCATTTCCTTTTAATACTTTGTCTTCTCCAAGGACCCTTTGAAATCTATTCATCTCTTTTATTTCATCATTTAATCATTTACTTTAGCCTCTTTACTTTCAGATGCAAGTTTCAGAATCTCTTCTGACATCCATTTGGACTATTTGTTTTCTATTATTTAAATGACCCATTGCTTTCCTTATGTGTGCTGTCCTGATGTCATACCACAACTTGTCTGGACTTTGGTCATTAGCATTAAATTCAACAAGCCTGTTCTTAAGATGGTCTCTAAATGCAAGTGGAATACACTCAATGCTGTGCTTTGCCTCTTGTTTGTTTAAAATTTCTTCAGCGTCTAGTTGAAATGGAAATTAAAGACGTTTAAATTGTTATTGATGTTGTTGTTGTGAAGTGCTGTTGAGTCGATTCTGACCCATAGCGACCCTGTACAGGGTTTCCGAGGAGCAGCTGGTGAGCTTGAACCACCGACCTTGCAGTTCAAAAGGCTTTGCAGTCTGGTGCATTAACCCACAGTGCCACACCAGGACAATACATTATTATTATTCCTCCCCCCCTAAATATTATTTAAAAATTCAGGGCATTGTATTTTAAATCATCACATAAATTCAGGCTGCTTAGGTTATTTTTGTTTTCCTACTGCTTAAATGTCTATTTTCACTATCATCATAATAAAGGCAATGTGTTTTTCTTATTGCTTGTAGGTTTCCAAAGTCCTTATCCTAGGGTCAGGAGGTCTGTCCATTGGTCAGGCTGGTGAATTTGATTACTCTGGATCTCAAGCTGTAAAAGCCATGAAGGTAAGATACTATGGTCTTTGCTATAATTAATATAGTCTCTTTAATGAGTCTAATTTAGATTTATGACCTACCTCTTTGTAAAGTATTCATAATTATTTTCCTTAACATTCCTTATATGAGGAGGCTTCAAAAAGCTTGTGGAAAAATTCCATTATCTCTTAATTCTATTTTTCCATGTGTTTTTGAAGCCCATCATATAGCTTATACAGAAGTTTGATCACAACAAGATGGTTAACTTTTGAAAACCGTGCACACTTGCATATTAAGGAAGTTCACTTGGCCTCCCCAATTTCCTTAGTTGTTGTTGTTAAGTGTTGTCAAGTTGGTTATGACTCATAGTGACCCTATATAGGGTCTTTGAGAGTTGCTAGTGGATTTGAACTGCCTACCTTGTGATTAGCAGTCTAGTGCTTATCCTACATTGCTACACCAGGGCTCATCTAAGTTGTAGTCTGTTTATATTGAAAACATATAAAACCACATTTATAGATGCTATTTATTCCTTTGGAGACTGCATGCTTTTAAAATATCTTTGTTATTTTATGTGAAAATGGGAATTTGAAACATTCTTAGTGCTGTAACATAGTTCAAACATGCTCCATAGGCTCCTTCCAGCATCTCTTGAATTGAAATTGGAAACTCCATTTGGGTAAGTGGGTCAACAATGCATTTTGTTCAAACTTTAGAAATGAATATTGCCACTAGGAAACCCCATTTCTCCATTAGTGATTAGGACACCAGAATGGTATGGCTGGATTTTGAAGGGGATAGATTATTTGAATCCAAGGTAGCAAGGAAACCTAACCGTCTTCAAATTCTCCAACATTTCTACACCGCTTATTGCATTAAAAGGAGCATTAAGGAGAGTTTTACTGTATGCTACTACACCTCTTCTAGGTATCCTATTTCACTGAATGGTGTCCATCTTGGTGCCAATCAGACCATCCAGAGGGATTGTGAGTGCTCTGACCTTACTTCTGGCTGTGCTATTCACCAGAGACTCAGCTAGATGAGAGTACCTAGAGAAGCAGCCAGAGACGAGAACAGCAAATATGGAAAATAGTTAGCCAACTTTCTTCTTTTTTTCAGTATTTTATATTCAGAGTTTCATTTGACAGATACCTATTTAGAACACTCCCTAATTACATTACTTTTGCCATTTGTTTACATTTTAAAATATTCTTCCCTATGTATGCATGATGTGGTGCTGTAGGATAAGCATTCAACTGCAGGATTGGTTTGAACTGCAAGGTCTGTTGTTCAAATTCACCAGTTGTTCCTCAGAAACCCTATACAGGGTTGCTATGGGTCGGAACTGACTTGACTGCACTTATTAACAACAACAAACACGCATGGGTGTTCGCACACATGCGCACATTTTGTTTTTGTGTGTACTTTCAAAATGGTACTTTACTTCATTGTATTATTATTTAATTTCTCTTTAGACAGATTATTAGTAGATGTCCAAATTACTTAGATGAATAGGTTTGTTCAGAGTTTAGAATGCATTTAATTAGCATACAATTTGTATCCTATTTGGAAGCTTATGAAGAATTAATTTCTATTTTTGTAGTTTGTATTTTTTAGGTGCTTTACATTCATTGGGTTGTTATATACTTTAACTAAAAATAGAATTAGATAACTTTTGTAATCATATAATAATTTCATGGTTGTGTGTTATTATTAATAGAGATGCATTTAGGAACTGAAAATATGAAAACAAACTAAATGATGCATGTTTGTAATCAAAACTATCATTAGAAAAAAGATATAAATATTTATTAAAATGGTTCAGAATAATTTTTAAGTTTTAAAATTAACACACTCTCCTGACATGTATGCATGGGATCTTTGCCTATGTAATTTATTAAAAAACCATTTTTGTTCATAGTGAGTATATCTAGGATAATACTTAAAAATATACTCAAGTGTGTCTGCTTTATCAATGATCCTTTCTACAACTTCTGTTTTGATGTGTTCTCATTTTGAATGCAAATATTTAGATCCCAATCTACATTTTAAATATATTTGCTTATCTGTAGATATCTTTCCAGTATTTGGTTAATAACACTATTCTTGTGTTAAACAATTTCTGAAGACCTTAAGGGATGACTTTTATTGAGGCTAGACCATAGGACTTGTCATAAAACTTGAATTAGAGTCCTAGTTTTTCTGCTTGTGTATTATATGACCTTTGGCAAGCCATTTAATCTTTTTGAGTATCAATTTCTTTATCTGAAGAATGGAAATATTCCTAAAGTCTTTGTATCAAAATCTGATAAATTAACAAAAAGGCACATTACAAGCCTTTTTGTTAATTTATTTGATACACGAACTATATGAATTTAAATTAGTATTGAAATTTACATTTTTGTTCATGTTCTTCCCCAAGGATAGGTAGGGCTTTCAAGAATGATTTCTAGACATTCATCTGAATATTTTGTTGATCTTTACATGAGTTTAAAATTGACATACAAATCTATAAAATAATAAGAACCATCTGGCTATATATTTCATAATAATTATTTTGCTAAGTGTCCTCCTCATCCTGTTTATAAAACTATTATCCTTGCTAGTCTACATGAAGAATTATTTTGAAAGTATGTCCAGATGTTAGGCATGAGATAGTCCTATGAACTTAAAAAGAAATGTGTATATGTGTATAGATATGTGCTTTTTGCCATATGCTCATTTTCTTTTTCTATAATATATATAAACAGTTTTATAATGTTTTTTAAAAACACTACAGCAGACATGAAAACCTAGAAAAATGGAAGCCAATACTAGCCTGTCAATGCTTTTAGCAAGAAGGGAACACATTGTTTTGTTTTTTAGGTGTACACTCGATTTTGTTCGAACCGCTGACCTTAAGGTTCGTAGCCCGATTCGTAACCACTACGCTACCAGAGCTCCTTTAATAAACCATAGAAAGCACCAATTTTGTACTGTTTTTGGATCCATTGTCTGTTGCACTCTAATTTATGAATTTGAAATATTTGATCCTTATTAGGTACATTGATACATAAAACTAAGTAGTATTTTCAGAACTTTGAGTTCTGTTGTGGTACTCTGGAGTAAGCACTTAATTGTTAACCACAAAGTCAGCAGTTCAAACCCACCAGTTCCTCCTAAGAAATGCTACACAGGGCTACAATGAGTCAGAACTGATTTGAGGGCACTAACAACAACAGTCTTGGTATGAGACCATAGGATAAACACTGGACTGCTAACTACTGAGTAACTCAAACCTGGAATTCCTATACAGGGTGGCTGTGGATCAGGACTGACTTGAAGGCCCTTAACAACAAGTTTAAACCCACTATCTGCTTTGTAGGAGAAAGATGAGGCTTTCTGTTCTGGTAAAGCTTTACAGCCTCGGAAACCCTATATAGGGTTGCTATGAGTCAGAGTCAACTAATGGTGATGGGCTGGGTTTTTATTTTTGGTTAGTTAAATTCTATAGAAATGGACTCCAGTGAGGCTTGGTACCACTAATACCAAGAATTCTCTCTTGGGACTCTTTGGATACTTTACTTTTAAACATTTTATTTTTCTTTTGACTGAAAGTTTATCTTCCTTGAACTTCCATCCTGTTAGTCTTTTTTTTTTTTTTACTGATCTCTGCAAACTACAGAGTAAGGTGAATGCTTTGTTATAAATACATTTTCATTTGAATATGGACATTCTCTTCTCATGGCATGCATTTAAAGCTTGGATCTTTTCATTTCTTTCAGGAAGAAAATGTCAAAACTGTCCTGATGAACCCAAACATTGCTTCTGTCCAGACCAATGAGGTGGGCTTAAAGCAAGCAGATGCTGTCTACTTCCTTCCCATCACTCCTCAGTTTGTCACAGAGGTTATCAAAGCAGAGCGGCCGGATGGGCTAATTTTAGGAATGGGTGGCCAGACAGCTCTGAACTGTGGTGAGTTCTTCCAAGTTTCAATGTGTATTTTCTAACCATACATCTATTTTTTGTTTGAACTCATCTAACAATTGTGCTGGTGTGTTCATAAAACTTTCCTCTACTGTGTGAAGAAGCAACTAGTAAATAGTTACCTGGAAATGGTGTTATAATGAATGTTATTGGTTTATTTTACATATTAACAGCTTTATTGCTCCAGGATGGTCAAAGTTTCATCAGTCCTTCATTCTATATGCCAGGTTATTGCCTTTCTCTGCTACCACTGAACACTAAGAACATTTATGAAATAGTAATGGATATATGTATATCCATAGTAACATGGTTCATTCTTCCACGCACCTGCTAGATTCAGAAATCTGCTTTATCATGCTTACACACCACTCAGAAATAAACATGAATAAGAATCTCTTTGGCTAATTGGATTAAGCAGTTGGTAATGTAACTTGCATATCAAATTTTAAAAAATAGCCAAAGTTATATCATAGGCAGTAGATACACAAAAAATTTTGATAAATCTTAACCCAGGTAGATACCCATATCTCTTGGATTAGTTAAATAATAGAATCATATCTTAAAAACAGCAACAACATTTTAGGAATGGGATCAAGGAAGATAAAGGAATGCACTGCTATTTTAAGGTTCAGTATAATCCTGTGATTTTCATTAGTAAGGATAATAAAAATGATTTGCATGGGTTAGCTTGGGTGATGGGCAAGGCAGATAAAAATAAATGAAAAGAGGAAAAAAGAAAGAAATCATAATACCAAAAAAAAAAAAAAAATCATTTTAAGATTTATTTTGAAATACAATGCTTTTGTAAAAAAAAAATGATTTTAAGAATGTAGGATTACAACATTGGGGAAGATTTTGTTACAATGTCTTTTTTTTTCAAAATTGTTTCTCCCTAAAATATTGTGATGATGTCTGGGATTTAAAAAGTAAAACAAACCAAATTGTATTCAGATATATATTAGAAAAGACTCAAGAGTTTGAAATTTAAAAAGTACATTTTGTTCCACATTTTTCTCCCACTGAATCTAGGATCTCTTAATGAGATACCTTTCCAAGCAGTTGTCAGTGGTTCTTCTAGATCTTAGTCTTCTGGAGGCTGAAGTTCAGGTGATCATTTAGTTCTTTGGACTAATTGCTTCCATGCATGTTTGATGTTTGATTTTCTTTAGATGTCTTTGCTCATGATGAGGAGAGACCAATAGTTACACATTAGATGACCACTCTCAAACTTTTAAAATCCTAATCACAAATGAGGCTGTAGAGCATTATCTTTGTGGAATCTATGATGCCAATTGACCTCCATGTCCTACATTACCATCCTGATCCCCCAGGCCCAGTGACTCATTCCCTCAAAATGTTTGATTATGTCTAAGAAGTTTTCATAACTTTGACACCTATATGTTCTACTATGAACTCTTGATGTGGCACTGTAGAAGATAAGTACAAGACTGCTAACAACAAGGTTAGAGGTTCAAACTCACCAACCACTCCCTGGAAACTCTCCACAGGGTCACTATGAAATGGAACCAACTTGATGGCCCTTACCAACACCAGCAATATGCTCTGTTAGACTTATGGACATATTTGATGTAAATTATTGTTGTCGCTAAGTGCCCTCGAGTTGATTCCGACTCATACCACGCTGTATAGGGTTTCCAAGGCTGTAAATCTTTGCAGGAGCTGAAAGCCTCACCTTTCTCCCATGAGCAATTGGTGGGATCCAACACTAGTGGTTCGCAGTCCAGTGCTTATTCTACAGAGTTGCAGTGCTCCCCAGCATATGTGAATATTTATGTAGAAATATCCTCTGTCAAACCTATATATGTTGGTGTGTAAAATCCCATTCTTTTTTCCACATCTTTGGCTTATGTGTATATCTATGTATCTTCTCATAGATTATTGTTATTAATGCTATTGCAGGATTGAGTATGTACTAATATTTGCTTCTGTTGCCTTTAACTCTTGTATTCCTTCCAGTGTCTCCCTTGATCTTGTTTTGTTGTATCACTTCTTACTGAATATGATCTTCTCCTTCACCCAAGTAAATATGTGTCTGCCGTCTAGTTAGTGATTTACCCATTATTTCCCTCCCACATCTCAAAAAAAAAAACAAAAAACCCAACATCAAACCCAGTCCATTGAATCAGTTCCAACTCACAGCTATCCTAGGTAAGGTTTCTGAGACTGTAAACCTTTATGGGAGAAGATAGCCTCACCTTTTTTCCTATGGAGCAGCTGATGGATTTGAGCCACTTTGCTTGTGGGTAGCAGCCCAACACTTAACCTACAGTGGCACTCAGACTCCTTTCCACCCTGATAACTATCAAAGACTATTTCTTTGAGTGTGTAAGCCTTTTCCTGACTTTTTACAATAGTGATCTCATATAATATTTGACTTTCGTGACTGATTTTCCATTAGGCTTATCCATGTTATAAGATGTTTCACAGACTTATTGTTATTCTTTAATGCTACATAATAGTCCACTGAGTGTAGGTACCATAGTTTGCTTATCTATTCATGTGCTGATGAGCAATAGATGAGTTCTACCTTTTTGCTATTGTGAATAGTGTTCCAATGAACATGGGTGTGCATGTATCTACTAGTCAAGGTGCTCATTTCTCTAGAGTATATGTCTAATAGTGGGATGGCTAGATCATGTGGTATTTCTATTTCCAAGATTTAAAGGAAGTGGCATATTGTTTTTCAAAGACAGACAAAATGTGGAATGCTACTCAAAACTTAAATAACAAAAACAAAACAGACCAGGCAGTAGGATACTGGTAGAACCATAAGACTAGGGCCTTTGGTTCTAGACCAATTAGGCCTAGAATTGACTCACCCATGTGGCTCTATTTTCAGTCAAATGACAGATAGTTCTATAAAGTGATCAACAATACTAGTAATTACACAGAGCAACCAGCCATTCAAGATTAAAAGGGAAGGATTTGCTAATGGATACAGTATTCTGGAACACTTAATTGTGCTCATGAGGAATCTGTACATGGACCAAGAGGCAGTTGTTTGAACAGAACATGGGAACACTGAATGGTTTCAATTTAAGAAAGGTGTGCAACAGGGTTGCATTATTTCACCATATTATTCAACCTATTTGCTGAGCAAATAATCCTAGAATCTGGGTTAAATGAAGAAAAATGTGGCATCAGGATTGGAGGAAGACTCCTTAACAACCTGCGATATGCAGATGATACAACCTTGCTTGCTGAAAGTGAAGAGGACTTAAAGCATTTACTGATGAAGATCAAAGAGCACAGAGTTCGGTATGGATTACATCTCAATGTAAAGAAAACAAAAATCTGGACCAATAAACAACATTCTTATCAATGTAGAAAAGAAAATTTGTCAAGGACTTCATTCTTCTTGGACCAACTATCAACACTCATGGAAGCAGCAGTCAAGAAATCAAACAATGTATTGTATTAGGCAAATCTGCTGCACAAGACCTTTTTAAACTGTTGAAGAGCAAATATGTCAGCTAGAAGACTAAGATGCACCTGACCCAAGCCATGGTATTTTCAATAACTTCATATGCATGTGAAAACTGGACAGTAAATAAGGAAGACTGTGGAAGAATTGATGCATTTGAGTTATGGTGTTGCAGGAGAATATTGAAATTGCCATGGGCTTTCAGAAGAACCAATATACCTGTTTTGGAAAAAGTATGGCCAGAGTGCTCCTTGGAGGCCAAGATCACCAAACTTTGTCTCTCATACTTCAGACATATTGTCAGGAGGGACCATTTGCGGAGAAGGTTATCATGTTTGGTAAGGTGGAGGGACAGAGAAAGAGAAGAAGACCCCAAGGGAGATGGATTGGCCAAGTGGCAGCACCAATGGCTCAAGCATGGCAACAGTAGTGAGGTTGGCCTAGGATCGGGCAGTGTTTCGTTCTGCTGTGCATAAGGTTGCTATGAATCGGTACCGACTCGATGGCACCTAACAACAACAGTTCCATAGGGCAGAAGGGTTAGGACAGATAGAGGAATAGAATCAGGAAACACAAGTTAGAAGTAGGATGCATGCTATTACATTGTGGAGATAACAATCAATGTCATGAAAGAAAATGTATGTAAATGGTTGAATAAAAAACTTATTTGCTCTGCAAACCTTTACACAATTCACAATAAAAATTTTTTTAAACTCCATAAAACAAAAACTGATTATATTTGGTTCTTTTGCAGGAGTGGAGCTATTTAAGAGAGGTGTGCTCAAAGAGTATGGTGTCAAAGTCCTGGGAACCTCAGTGGAGTCCATTATGGCCACAGAAGACAGGCAACTGTTCTCAGACAAACTAAATGAGATTAATGAAAAGATTGCTCTAAGTTTTGCAGTGGAATCGGTAAGGGATTCTGGTATAACAAGGAATTATTTGTCTTGGGTTGTGGAAAGAATGATTTATCATGCCCTATTATAGTGGTTAGCCATTTGAACTGCAAGGTCAGTGGTTCAAGCTCACCAGTTGCTCCTCAAAAACCCTATGTAAGGTTGCTATGGGTCGGAACTGACTTGATGGCATTTAACAATAACAACAATTATAGTGGTTAAAATTCTTATACTTGTATATATTTACTTCTAGAAATGTGTAAGTACCTTGGATATTTTGTGTACTGGTTGTATTCAAAGCTGAAGTGTTAATGACACGCATTACTTTTTTTTTTTTTTTTCACAAAAAGATAAACATAAGTCCAAGGATGAAGTGGTTTATTAGTGACTGAAGTTCTACTAAATCTCAAATCTTTTGAATTGAGGTTGAGAATCATACGAACCTGTAATGTCAAAGTGAATTTATCTTCTTCTTAGGATCAATTATACATCTTGAGTGGGCAAACAACAGCATTTGGATTTAGAAACAAAACAAAAGAGAATTTAGAACAGAGTACACATTTTAGAATGGAATTATCTATGAAAGAAATCATTGGATGCAATCACTAAGACTCATGAGTAGAATAGACACTAGCTTGTCATGCTTTGTCATTATTCATTTTCCACCGTATCTTATGCCTATTGAAATGCTATTATCAGGAAGCAGGAAAAAGTTAATTTGCTGTACATTTGTTTTTACTCCCTTTTGATTTCTGAATTAGGCATATAATCAGTGGGGGGTGGGTGCTAGAGGTAGTTGTTAATGCAACTTTCCCATTAATATTGTTATTAAATGCTGTCGAGTCAGTTCTAACTCATAGCAACCCTGAATGGGATTTCCAAGGAGTGGCTGGTGGGTTTGAACTGCCAATCTTGTGGTTAGACATCTAGTGCTCATCCTATAGTGCCACACCAGGCCTCCATAAATAAATAAGCAAATCCTTAGGGATAAGGCAAGTACTCATGAAACAGCTAAAAATGGGCTGTGTGTTTATCAGAAAAGAATGCTATCAAGAATATTTTATGTTCCAAAACTGCCAGTCAGGAATAATCCTGGGATACCTCTGCTGAACACTCTGGGAAGCTTCTTTTATTGCCAGATTTAATTATGCCCTTGCTTCTTCAGGATGAGAAGCAGGCATATGGGAAAGGTGTAATTACATTCCCATTGGTGGTGTAATAATATTCCACGACAAAAAATTATAGCCACCATATGTTGTATTCTGCAAATAATAATAATAAAAAAAAAAAATCCAAGCTTCTGGGAGTGAAGTTGAACTATGAATACTCTCTTCCTATATAGTGTTCCTAATGCCATATCGAAGTAATATCAAGTTAGAGTCAGTAGCAAAGAACTTGATTTCACTTAAAAGTAAACTTTGAAACAGAATTTAAAAATTCAATATGGTTCTGTTTCTCATATTAATGATTATTTTCTCTGATTTGGCCTTGGTTTTATTTTGAAATGTCAAGACGAAAACAAGAAAACAATGATCACAAAAAGCATGGAGAGTGGGCTGCTGTGGGACCTTTTGGTTTATCTAAAAAAGAAAAACAAACAAACAATTCTCTTAGAGTTTCAGTGAAATTTGTAAAACTTTTTTCCCCAGAAGGAGATGAGATAATGATGTCTCACTCACTCATTTTTCTGGACTAAATTTATTGATCTCTATCACCAGATTTTCTTAATGTGGTCCTTTCTGCAGGATTGTCACCTTTTTAAAACTTTGGATTCTTTTTCCTGTTGACAGATTGATGATGCACTGAAGGCAGCAGACACCATTGGTTATCCAGTGATGATTCGTTCTGCCTATGCCCTGGGAGGCTTAGGCTCTGGCATCTGTCCTAACAAGGAGACCTTACTGGACCTCAGTACAAAGGTATGTGTTTTCATAGACAAAGTTCTTACCTCGCAGAAAAACCCAATATACACTCCCAGTTGTCAGGATTGCAGTCAATGACATGAAGCAAAATGTGTATGAATTGTTGAATAGAAAACTGATTTGCTCTGTAAACCTTCACACAATTAGAAAAAGTGATGGAGATGAGAAATTATTGCCTTTTGCTCTATTTGTTAAAGCACAATCCTGTTCTCTATAAGTGTTGTCCAAAATGATGACACTCTTAAAACGGAAATGTGCTGCAATTGCGCATGCCAGAACACAGTCATTACCCAGAACTGTCCTGGGTAAACCAATGCTACGCTACCTGACATGTACCTTCTAAGGACTTCAGAAGGAGCTCTGGTAGTGTAGTGGTTATGAATTGGGCTGCGAACATCAAGGTCAGCAGTTCAAACTACCAGCTCTTCCACAGGAGAAAGATGAGTCTTTCTGCTCCTGTAAAGAGTTACAGCCTTGGAAACCCTGTACAGGGTCACTATAGGTCAGAACCAACTCCACAGCACATCACCACCACCACCAAGGACTTCAGAGATAGCAACAGAATCCACTTCTATCTTTTGTTTTAAAATGGGTTCTAAAACACTCATAGTATCATAAAATACATCTTAGTGGTTAAAAAAGGAAATGAAATATGGTATTTATTTTTTTCCATCTTTTTTTTTGAAGTGCAACAAAATAACATCAACTGATTTAGCTTCCATATCCTTTCTTGTCCTTCCACTGTCACCCCAAATCAAATACATTATGAGACAAAGGAACATTTCTGCCTTGGATTTTCAGCCACGAAATAGCCTGAGGTCAGAGACTGCCTGGTTCGTATTTTAGGTTCAGTATTCTACTCACCATGGGTACTCAGTAAATATGAAGTGATAATTATACTAATTCATATCTGTCTAATCAGGCATACATGATATATGACTCTGAGTATTTAAGCACTTAGGCAGCGATTAACCATAATAATAGTTGCATATGATTCTGTTAATTCCCAAGTTTAGTATGCCATCTTGACTAACTGTTTACAACCATCATCATCTCCTTTCTTCTCCTCATCAACATCAGCTAACATGTATTGTGTATGTCACTGTACAAAGCACCCTCTGCTATTTTAGAGAATACCAAAGTCTTTAGACTTATTTTTCTGCATTTATTCGCACTTATCACATTTTCTGGTTTCAGAGAAGCTTAGCTGCTGAAATAATTTCATTTCCCTCTGCCTGATTGCTCAATTATTTTCTCTTTTTCCTAAATTAGTTTGATTTAATGTCATATCAGCACTTTGAATGGCAAGCCTCAATAATGTAAATCAAGCGCATTCACTGCAGGATGCTATTCCTAGCACCTCACTGATTTTCTGACACATTGTGCCTTCTGGAGTGTAGGGGAGGATGGCAATGGGACTTGAGATTTAACGCAAGCCAGAATTCAGGTCAAATATCCATGTGAGTCCTGGTGTGGTGCTGTGGGTTAATGTGCTGGATGCAAGGTCTTTTGAATCACAATGTTGGCGGTTCAGGCTTACCAATCGCTCCTTGAAAACCCTATACAGGGTCACTATAGGTCGGAACCGACTGGATGGCACACAACAGCAACAACAATTCATGTTTCAACCAGTGCCCTTCCTTACTCTTTGATGTCTTTTTTTGGCATCCGTTTCTAGGCCTTTGCAATGACCAACCAGATTCTGGTGGAGAGATCAGTGACAGGTTGGAAAGAAATCGAATATGAAGTGGTTCGAGATGCTGATGATAATTGTGTCACAGTCTGTAATATGGAAAATGTTGATGCCATGGGTGTTCATACAGGTAGGTAAAGTATCATCAAGAGTGATAGTAATGCCTTCACTTAACATCTTTGATGTTCCATGGCAATTTTTTAAAAGTTTTTATTCCCTTAAATTGCTATTCTTAACTGACATATTAGTGATAAAATTTCATAGAAATATAGTATGAGAGACGAGACATATTATGAGGATGGACCAGTCCCTGCATAAGAACATCATGCTTGGTAAAGTCGGCAAAAAAGAAGGATATACACAAAGAGATGGACTGGCACAGTAGCAGTAGTAATGTGCTCAGTATATCCCCGATTGGCAAGTCTTGGTCTCTGTCCTATTCTGTTGTGACTGGGCAGTGTTCCTTCTGTTACGCATATGTGCACTACGAGTTGGTACCGACTCAACAGCACCCACCACCACCAACAACATGGTATTTTAAAGTGTTGAAAGTACTCCCATTAGTATTTAACTTCACAAAATTCTTCTGAAGTAAGGCTGGTATTTTTATTCTGATTTTATCTGAAGAAAGGAGCCAAATATAAGTGATGTAATAATGGAAGTAAAATCTATAGGAATTGGTGATGAGAAGTAAGGAGTGAGGTTGAGGAAGGCCTGAAGCAGACCATGGTGCTAGTCACTGAGTGGATCAGAAAATAGCCACATGTGATACAAATAGGATTCTCGAGAATCTATTTAGAGGGAGAGGGAAAAGATGACTTTAGTTTTAGAAATGCTAAATTTGAGGTGTGGGTGGAAGTCTCAAGAAGGATAATAATAATAATATGGAAGTAGAATTCAAGACATAGAGGACAGAATTCAAGATTTGGAAATCAGGCATCTGCCTTAATAAGGAGATCTTAGTGGACCTCAGTACAAAGGCATGTGCTTTCATAGACAATGGGCTTATCAAGCAGGAGAACTTGCTATATACTCTCAGTTAGAGAAAGTCATGCAGATGAGAAATTGTTGCCAGGAATTGTTAAATCACAGTCTTGGTCTCAGTAAGTGTTGTCCAAATATTGACACTTAAGAAGGGAATATGGTGCAGTTTTGTATTCTAGCATTAACAAAAGAAATAATTGAAACTGGAGGCATATATGAACTATTTAAGGGTAAAGGTATACAAAGAGGAAAAAGTAAGGTTGAGGACTGAATCTTACAAAACGTCTAGATTTATAGGCAGGATAAAGAAGAAGCTTTACTATTGAACACGAAGAAGGGAATGGTAGAAAATATCTTATAAGGGAGCTTACTTTGGGCTGTATCAGGTACTATAAAATGTCAAGAATGAAGATTTAACTTAGATTTTTAGATGTCTAAAAGGGAAGGGCAAATCTGCTTCAAAAGACCTCTTTAAAGTGTTCAAAAGGAAAGATGTCACTTTTAAGATTAAGGTGAGCCTGACCCAAGCTACGATATTTCCAATTGTCTCATATGCATGTGGAAGCTGGACAATGAATAAGGGAAAGTGAAGATGAATTTATGCTTTTGAATGATGATGTTGGTAAAGAATATGAAATACACCATGAACTTTCAGAAGAATGAAACATCTGTGGTGGAAGAGATACAGCCACAATGCTTCTTAGAAGTGAGGATGGTGAGACATTGTGTCATGTACTTTGAACATGTTATCAGGAGGGATCAGCCTCTAAAGAAGTAAATTGTGCTTAGTAAAGTATTGTTGTTGTTGTTGTTGTTAAGTGTTGTTGAGTTGGTTCCAACCCACAGCTACCCTGTATAGGGTTTCTGAGGAGCAGCTGGTGAACTTGAATTGCCGATCTTGCGATTCAAATGGACCTTGCAGTCCAGCGTATTAACCCACAGTACCACGCCAGGACTCCTAGAAAAGCATGTTGTTGTTGTTAAGTGCCGTCAAGTCAACTTCTACCTATAGTGACCCTGTATAGGAGTGGCTGGTGAGCTTGAACCACCGACCTTGCAGTTCAAATGGCCTTGCAATCTGGCGCATTAACCCACAGCGCCACACCAGCACTCCTAGTACAATACATTGACCAGTGACTGCAACGATGGGATCAAACCTAACAATGATTGTGAGGATGGTACAGGACTAGGCAGTGTTTTGTTCTGTTATACATAGGGCTGCTTTGAGTCAGACTGAACTCCAAGACACCTCACACAACAAAAGAGAAGGTTCAATGGAAAGTTAGTTATGTGAACCAAGTTGAAATATTTATATGGTAATGAGGGGTGAGCAGCATTGGCAATCCTCTGAGTTTAGTAATGTGAAAAATGGGAAAGGTTTATTGATTGTCTAGCATTTTTGTGGAGGGGTTTCTTGAGCCAGTAAAGATCGAAAGAAATGGAGTAAGAGATTGGATACATAAGAGACTTTCATGGCAGGGAGAGTAAAGGAATGGGAAGAGAGGAGACTTAAGAGAACAAGTTGATGAGCTAGTGTGGGCCATCAGGATCTATCCTTCTATGGAGGGGATAACTTAAAGAATTTGGGGTGAAGTTAAGGGATGATGAAGACGTTCATGTTTAATCCAGAAAGGAGTCGAGTGAACCTTGGTAGCTAGGTGAACGTGGTAAAGATTAGAGAGGTAATGTATTAAGATTATAAGGACTATACAAGGATCAGGGGAAATAATATCTGCTGTGTCTTACATATGTTTCCTTAAGATAATACTTTCCCAGCAAGCTCACAGACAGTTCTGTGTCTTTCTTGTAACATACGAGTAGATTAAGTCACTGAAATGAATTATTAAGCTATGCCATCAAATAACTAGTGTTGCTTGGCTTTATAGGTGATTCAGTTGTTGTGGCCCCTGCCCAGACTCTTTCCAATGCGGAGTTTCAAATGTTGAGGCGTACTTCAGTTAATGTGGTTCGTCATTTGGGCATTGTGGGTGAATGCAACATTCAGTTTGCCCTTCATCCAACCTCAATGGAATACTGCATCATTGAAGTGAATGCCAGACTGTCCCGAAGCTCTGCCCTGGCTTCAAAGGCCACCGGGTAAGATGAAAAGACTGACCATGGATTTACAGATTCCTTGCAAATAGAATTGGAAAATTAACAGTTAGTGGAAGTCTGTGCTCTGTTTACAAACCATATTCTTCGCTTCTGTATGCTGGAACCAAATCTTTCGTGGGACCCTAAGGACACAATTATTAATGAGCTTGCTGCCAGACTGAGGCAAATGGTGTTGTTAGCTGACTTTGTTGGCTGGCTAATCATAAAATAATCAAAATCTGGGTGGTCAAATCAGGCTGTGAAAAATCTCCTTCTTAATTGCACTTTGCAGATGTTGCTAAAAAGTGCAAATTAATCCCTAGCTTTAGTCTTCATCAGTTTTTTTGTATTTTTTTTTTTTCAGGTGTGTAGCCCTATAGCAAAGGTTAGACAAATAATATAGTTCAGTCTACTCAAGCATTCAATACACATTATTTTTATTTTAGTAAAATTTTGCACGAGTAAACAATATAAACATTGTAGGATTTTTCCACAGGTAATGTTGCAATCCAATAAATAAAGTTGCCACTCCTAGAAAGCATACTTGTGCGAGAAAATGAATTAATGTGATTCATTTTATTATACTTAGCATCTGGCATTTGAATTCTATGACATTTAAATTAACAAAATATTGACCTCTGTAGATATTTTATGTGGCTATAAAGTGCTGCATGGAGTGGTGGTAGATGTGTTGCCCTCTGAAGGAGGCAGGAAACCTGAGTTCTTATTCTGGCTCTTTCCCTGACCATGTGACTTTGGGCAAATTATCATTTTTATCAGTCACCCCTTCTGCAGGGTGGGGACGTTGGGTTAAAATGACTTTATGAAATTCTAGAGTTCTATGAATTATTTTAAAACTGACCTTCTTGAAGAGAATACTCAAGTTCCTGGAGCTGAAAGTTCAAAGAAAATTTGACGACATAGCTAGGACCATATTTGCAATGGCTACATTTTCTGACCCCTGCATAAGACACAGTGCCAGCTAGTTCCACAGTCTTTCTATGTTCACACATGAATGTTTTTTCAAAAGAATATTTTGCAGATTCTTGCCTTAATGGAAGTGTTTCTGGTGTGGTGCTTTGGATAAGCACTGGACTGCTAACTGCAAAGTCAGCAGTTCAAACTCACCAGCTTCACTTCTGAAACCCTATCCAGGGTTGCTATGGGTCAGAACCGACTTGATGGCACTTAACAACAACAACAACAACACTTTAGTGGAGGTTAAATAAGTAAGCTCTTTACTTATCTAGGTAGTTATTGATTTGTGGTAGAGAATTATAGACATGCATCTCAGGTACAGAGAGCTAATTCTTTGTGATCTATACCTTCACACATTCTTCCTGACTGACATTATTTTATATGTGGGTTTTAAATATTCATACAGAATGGAGACTCAGGTGTGTCTTGTGTGCTGAAGTGGAATAATACCAGAATTTCTAAGATCAATTTATGTCTTGGAATGTTTTCCATGCTTATTGCTTAGTTAGAAATTTAAAAATTCTTTCCTCATTTATAGTTACCCATTGGCATTCATTGCTGCAAAGATTGCCTTAGGCATTCCGCTTCCAGAAATCAAGAATGTTGTATCAGGGAAGACATCAGCCTGCTTTGAACCTAGCCTGGACTACATGGTTACCAAGATTCCTCGCTGGGATCTCGACCGTTTCCATGGAACCTCTAGCCGAATTGGTAGCTCTATGAAAAGTGTGGGAGAGGTGAGTCTTTAGTTTACTCTCTATTTACTCCTTTCTCTCAGTTTACTTTGTCAAATCCTTAACACCACTGACAATCTTAAATTTGCCTGGACACAGGGTTTTAAAATATTATTTCCTCCTTAGTATTTTAACATCTATCTATTTAACTATTAATATTACATAACCATTGTATTAGCTTCTAAGAGCTTGTGTTTAAAATGAGAGACCATGTATCTGGATGCGTAATATATGAAAATACATTTATATAAATATAACTGAGTGGTTTGGCACTGTGCATTAATGTGCTGGACTGCAAAGTCGCTTTGAACCACAAGGTTGGTGGTTCAAGCTCACCAGCTGCTTCTAGGAAACCCTATACAGAGTTGATATGGGTCAGAACCAACTCAACGGCACGTAGAAACAACAACATAGTGTATTTTATTATAAAGTCACAAAAGTAAGAGAATATAAAATAGTGCGTAATATACTGAACTAAGACCACTGAACTAAAGTTAACAATTACATTTTCATCCGTCCAGGCACAATTTGGCTTCACCCTCCTTAGGCCTCAGTTTCCACATCTATTGGGGGCAAAAAATAAAGCTGCTGGATTAAAAGCTCTTTCAGCTTCAGCCCCTAAATGGAGGAGAGTACAATGGGACATTGGAATGCTGCTATGGCTCTGTGGGCTAATGCACCAGGCTGCTAACCTTGAGGTCGGCAGTTCAAAACTACTGGCCACTCCATGGGAGACAGATGAGGCTTTCTGCTCTCCTAAAGATTTACAGCCTTGAAAACCCTATGTAGGGTTGCTATAAGTCAGAACCGACTCCATGGTACTTAACAAGAACAGTAGTGGAACATTAACCAAAAAGAACCCAAACCCAGTGTCAGTGAGTCAATTCTGAATCCTAAAGTTTCCGGAAGAGGGAGTCTTTAGGGAACCAGACAGCCGCATCTTTTTCCTGCAGAGCAGTTGGTGGTTTTGTACACCAGCCTTGTGGTTAGCAGGTCAACGTTTATCCTACAGTGCTAGGAGAAATATTAAGCTCTTTTTTATTATACTGAAAGATTTTAAGCATTTAGTCTTGTTAGAAGATTTTCATAATGTTCCACATCATGCTATATGAAATTAAAATTAGTTTTTATTATTCTACCTGCAAAATTTCAGCAATTCTCTCTGTGTGGGAGAAAAGAAAGAAATTCAGATCCTTGTGTCTGAGATATGCTCTTCTACCTCCCTTCTTCAAGGGGCAAATTTCTCTTTTCACTGAGGAAGTATGCTTGGATGAGGAGAGCAGAAGCTTTGGAACCAGATGGACTTGCCATTTATTGGCTAGACATTCCCATGCAACACATTGAACCTCATGTTCTCCATTTTCAAAATGGAGAGGATAATACCATCCCAGTAGGATTTTTATAAGGTTTAAAATGAATGCATACAATATTTAGTAAATACCTTTAGGTAAATTCATAGTATATATCTAACAAATTTAATTCAATATCATTGCTGTTAATACTGAGTGCTATTATGGTGTGGCACTGTGGCTTAATACACTGGATTGCAATTTCGCTTTGAACTGCAAGGTCAGTGATTCAAACTCACCAACCACTCCTCAGAAACCCTATACAGGGTATCTATGAGTCAGAACTGGCTCAATGACATCTAAGCACAATAATAACAGCATGGCCTATAGGATAAGCATTGGACTGCTAACAACAAGGTTTGCTATTTAAGCCCACCTGCTGCTCCGTGGGAGAAAGATGAGGTTTTTCTGCTCCTGAAAAGATTTACAGTCTCAGAAACCCTGTACAGGGTCACTAGGAGTTGGAACCAACTCAACAGCACTTAACAAGACCACTATTGTTAATATACAAGGGGCTTCCAAGATTTAATGGAAAAATACACTGAAATGTTAATGAGATTTTTCCACAAACATTTTGAAGCCCCTTTATATTTAAAGAGTCTTCATTTTGCTTGGTTCCGCAATCGATGCTCATGGAAACAGTAGTCAAGAAAGCAAACATTGTATTGCATACGACCTCTTTAAAGTGCTGAAGAGCAATGATGTCACTTGAGGACTAAAGTACACTTGACCCCAGTGAATATGAAAGACCTTTGAAGAATTGATGCATTTGAATTATGGGGTTGGTGAAGAATATTGAAAGTTCCATGAACTGTCAAAAGAACAAACACATCCAAACACAATTGTGGGGATGACAGAGGAGCAGGTAGTGTTTCGTTCTGTTGTGCATAAGGTCACTGTAAGTCAGACTGACTTGATGGCACCTAACAACAACCATGAGTAGGAAGTAACTTGATGGCAGTCAGTCTGGTTTTTTGGTTTCATATTTATCTGGGTCAAGTGTAGAGTTTTTGAGTATATCTCTATAGCTCTGTGTCCATGTACCACATCTAGCCACTTGACCTCTCTCTCATCTCTATCTCTGGTGGCCAGTACAGGTCTAGGTCTGAGTACCTTTGCTAGTTAGAGCACAGAACTAAAGACCATTTATGGATTCCGTTTCCAATGTGGCCTTTATTTATCCTATGAAACAGATTATAGGCTAAACTCACCCCAACTATTTCAGCAATCTATGCCACTAATCACAGGATATAAACAGAGAACAAGTAAAAAAAGACATTTGACTGCTCAATCCAATTTATGCGCAAGAGGCAGAATTACTGCTATATTGGTTTCCTTAGGTTCTAAACTATTAATGGAAGATTTAAAAATAATGACAGACAAGGAACAACTTGAACTTTTAAATGAAAATGTCTTACTAGTTATAAAACACCAAGTACTATTTTATTTCTCTGGCACTGTTTTTTCATTCTTAATTTTTCTATAATTCCTTTTTGTGCATAGTAGAAATGGAACTCAGATGCCATAGAAGACTGTGTTCATAGTGCTATTTGGTTTATATTTCATAGGAAAATTCCTTTTCATGATATTCACAATGAAATTCATAGGCCAAAGAAAATGAGAGAATTGTGTGATGTTTTCATTTGGTGTTTCTTATTCGAGGGCTTTTTGTCTTCAGTGATACCTTACACATAGTTCAAGTCAAGTTAGCAAACATTTACTGAGTTCTTATGTGCAGGAAACTGGGAAGATAAAACAAAGAATTGGTTATCGATAATTCTGACACATTATCTGCAACTCATTAATTCAAAATATATAAACAGACCAGATATAATGTGAATTAAACTATGGTAAAAGTTAAGATCGATTCTTTGCAGATAGAAGCTAAGAGACTATAGTAGAGTGTTGTTGTTGAATGCCATCAAGTTGGTTCTAACTCATGGAGACCCTGTAGTCGAGTAGGCCCAGGGAAAGCATTGTTAAATTACTCCACTGAAAAATGGTAACATTTTCACTTAATGAGAATTTCAATACTATGTAGTTGTTGCTAAGTGCCCTCACGTTGGTTCCAACTCATAGCCACTTTTATAGATTTTCTAAGGCGCACCTGCTGGGTTTGAACCACCAACCTTGAGGTTAGTAGTCTAGTACTTATCTTACAGTGTAAAAGGTACTGAAAAGCACACATTTTGATCCATTAAAATTATGCATTTTTATTATCACTTAAGTATATTTACTTCTCTCTTTTTAAAAATTAGATCATTATGGACTGTGTGCTTAAAATTAATAAAACAATTATGGTAAACAACTTGTAGAACTAGTTCTTTAGGGGCCGAAGTTGGATGACTCTCTGGAAATGAGCAAGGAGTACAGATACAATGTATTACCGATTCCATAATACAGTACTGCCCTTCACTGTACTGGGCTTCTCAGACATTATATTTTTTTGCAAACTTTACAAATGAAGGTTTGTGGCAACTTTGTATCAAGTAAGTCTCTCAGCACCATTTCCCCAAGAATACATACCCACTTTGTGTCTCTGTCACATTTTGGTAATTCTCACTATATTTCAAACATTTTCAGAATGTGATTGTGCACTTAAAAGACTACTTACTATGTATAGTATAAACATAACTTTTATGTTGTTGTTGTTATGTGTTGTGGAATCGGATCCGAATCATAGTGATCCTGTACAGGGTTTCTGAGGCTGTAAATCTCTACAGGAGCAGAAAGCCTCATCCTTCTCCTTCAGAGCAGCTGGTAGTTTTGAACTGCTGACCTTAAGGTTCGCAGCACAATTTGTAACCACTACGCTACCAGATCTCCTTAAACATAACTTTTATATGCACTGGGAAATCAAAAAAAATAATGTGACTTGCTTTATTGCAATACTCTTTATTGAATTGATCTGAAACTGAACCTCGGTATCGGAGGTAAGCCTGTGTTTCCTCAATTGTACAGCTCCATGACCTATATTATTTTTGGAAGTCTCTTCCTGGTTAGACTAGAAAATCTATAAACACGCTGTCTAACTTTTCAAGATGCCACTATAACTCACAAATTGCATATCTGAATCCAACTAACATTTTGTTTACTTCTGTTTTTGTGCATCTTTCCTTATTTCTAATTAAATTTAGAACAGTGTGAAAAGGTTATATGTTTGGGCTTAGTGATCTTTGAATATGTATCATATCACACAATTGACATGAAGATTTCCTAAGCTGACACTAATGGAAATTCAAGTCTATTTTGAGAAATCACAGAAATTTATCGAAGGCAGTTTTATGACTGTTATTATTTTGAATTGGAAACCAAAACTGCATAGCAACCTATTATTTTGTGGAAAGATTCAAAGACAATGTTTATCCAATGAAAAGAGCTGGGTAGACTGCAAGGTCAATCCTAGTTCTGACTTGTGCCTGTCTAAACGAAATCACCACATGGTTTTTAAAATTGATTAGTATATGATCAACTGTAAAGATTGTGGAAAGACACATTGGATTTGTCATGGAGAACTTAGTCTCCACCTACATTCAAAATCGGAATCTGTCAGTACTTGTATGATTCTCCAGGTTCTATTAATATTAATGCTCAGCTATAAAGAGAGCCAACCTTACTTGAATATTGATTGATACTCATTTAGAAATAGTTTTGTTTCTGAGTTAATATAGGTCTTGTTTCCCTTCATTTGCTTTAATTTTAAAAGGGTATCTACATAAAAACAATATAATTCTAAAGAAGGATTGATATGATCTGGCCATGCATTCTTTATTTTATGACTGTAGTCCATAGCAGGTAGCGGTGATTTTCTCATCCATCTAAGGAAAGCCTGCTGAATGCCCTAACAGGTAGAAAATGGATCTAATGGATCTAATGTGAATGACTCTCTGATTATGCCAAAACCATAGAGAAGAGAGTTGTTGGTGTTAAGTACTGTTGAGTTGGTTTAGAGTCATAGTGACTCTGTATAGAGTTTCCAAGGAATGGCTGGTGAGTTTGAGCTGCCAGACTTGCAGTTCAAACCGATCTTGTGGTTGAGTGTTTATCCTATAGCACTACACCAGAACTTGGGAGAAGAGAGAGAGGATGCAAAAATTCTAAAACTTGAGTAGAATTCTAATAATATATTTTATTTCTGAAAACTATTTCACTCTTTGTTCTGTTACAGATTAAAGATAGATGTAAGTACTTTCTTTAACTCTGAAATTTTGAATGTGTGCTGCAGGTGATGGCTATTGGTCGGACTTTTGAGGAGAGTTTCCAGAAGGCTTTACGAATGTGCCACCCATCTGTAGATGGTTTCACAGCCCGTCTGCCCATGAACAAAGACTGGCCGTCAAACCTAGATCTCAGGAAAGAGCTGGCTGAACCATCTAGCACCCGCATCTATGCCATTGCCAAGGTAAAATGCAACAAGAGACCTAGAGCTACTACTGTTTTTTCAGAATAATCAGCCTGGACTTTAAAGTAACATTATCACAAAACTGTCTTCGATTCAGAAAAAGTTTTGGAATTTAAAAATTCTCTTCAAAGGTGATAGAGACTTCTAAGGATTTATCAAATATTTCTATATTTGATGAAGAATTGTCTTTTTCTATTAGACTTTTAGCCTAACCTTAAGGACATAGTGCAGATTTAAAGATTGAGCACATAGATAAATTGTCCCATCTCTTTTTGTAAATGCAGTATCAATACTATAAGTAGATTTGATTACATTGACTTGTCAAGTCATATCACCCTAGTTTCTTGCACCTTAAAAATGTATGTGAAATTGTGTTTTAGAAAGGAAGATGCATAAAATCACCACATAAGATCCCAGAACAGCCTGTCTTTATTTGCTCATTTCTCTGTATTTAAACAACAGACTAAAAAGAATATCCATGCTTATAAGCTTTTCCATGTACCTATACTATTGGTTTTACTTTTAGAATAAAATCCCACTTTTCTTTCTTCCATCCCCTAGTTCCTTTTATGCAAACTAAATACATTTTAATCTCCTTTCATGTTTACTGTGCTTAGAGTTTTGAAATTTCAGCTCGTCTGATTTTATAAAAGGTGACTTGGGCATCTGGGACTCTGGCCTGAAATCCCTGAATGGTGTTTTGACATTTAAGAAAGCATAAGAATTAATCCTCCAATAGTATCAAACCACTGGGGCTACAAAGCCTCACTGACCATTTAATGTGCTTTTGTATGCATATGGCATAATGGGATTAGTTGATGAAAGTATGAATTCTATCTTTAAAGGCAGAGGCTGTCTTTGTAATTTGCCTTTGTAGCAACAGAAAAATGCTGTTAGTGATTTTGAAGGCACTGAACTTTTGTGTCTGAAAACTGAGAGTCCTGGAGAGAAAGGAAAGAGAGAAGGGTTGATATGGGAGTGGATACACATACAGCAGGCTTCAGAAAGGTGGGGGCAAAGTTGGAGATTTTTCAATTTCAGTTTTGAAATTTAGAAGCCCGCACACATTGTTGTTGTTCTGACTCAAAGCAACCCTGCATTTTTTTTTTTTTTTTTTTTTGAGGATCAGTTTGTGAGCTTGAACCGTCGACCTGGAAGTTCAAACCAACTTTGTAGACTAGTACATTAACCCACAGCACCACACCAGGACTCCACAAACACACACATTAAGGTGCTTCAAAATTACCTTCATGTTTATATATATATTTGTTTTTGTTGTTGTCAAGTCATAGCATCTCTGTGTAGAGGCTCCGAGGAGTGGTTGGTAAGTTTGAGCCCCCAACCTTGTGGTTCAAACCAAATTTGTGGTCCAGTGCTTAGCTTATCCTGCAGCACCACACTAGGACTCCATATATTCCACTACGAATCGGACTGTGAACCTTAAGGTCAGTAGTTCGAAACTACCAGTTGTTCCGCAGGAGAAAGATGAGGCTTTCTGCTCCTGTGAAGATTTGCAGCCTTGGAAACCCTGTACAGGGTCGCTACGAGTCGGAACCTACTCCACGGCACATAACAACACCAGAGCACTCTTTCTATATATCTAGGTAGCGTAGTGGTTACGAATCGGGCTGCGAACCTTAAGGTCAGCGGTTCGAAACTACCAGCCGCTCCGCGGGAGAAAGATGAGGCTTTCTACTCCC